GGAATCCGGGATAGTTGTTAAGGTGCGCCGAGATTTCTTGGGAAATCAGGTAGTGAATCTGAAATCATCAGTCGTGTCGCAAACTGATACCTTCCATTCAACAGAAATGCATGGCAAATTTGATAAAGTCGGGTGAAGGTAGCAATGAAACGGCAGCAAATACAGCATCTGCGCCCAGTTGCTGTCAAACATGACCACCTTGCCATGGGTAAACGCCTGGGCATAGCATGAAATAATTAGCTGCAGAAACCCATCTGTTCAATGCATGGTTTCCCCATTTCTCTTGCTGAAAACCGCCGGGACACCGGGACTTTGCCGTTGGGGTTGATGGCCAGGTACCATTCAGGTTTTGTCCTTGGGTCATTTCAGCTGGTACCACGCAGGTGCATCCCAGTTACGAAATGATGTAGAATACACAAAACTCATGGGTGTGTGTGTATCTCTCTCTCTCTCTCTCTCTCTCCAGCACATCTCCCACATGTATGCATGCATGTATATATTATGTACATATACTTATATGTAAAAAATACTATGTGTGTATATATATATAATTAATGTTGGCGTCTGATTAGTGTCATGGGACCCTATTGTGAGAAATGTTTGCTTCCTAATTGAATATCTTGGTGTTTTTTTTTGGGGGGGGCCTCTATTGTGAGTTTTTTTTTCTCAGATCCATTTTTTTAAGGAGGAAAAAATAGGTTTATATAAGAACAAAAACTAGTTAATTAACTACACTTCTTTGGGTAAAGCTGGTCCCTTTACTTTAGAAAACCATATCCATGTCAAAGCCTTGAAATGCAAGGTTTTCCCAATAATTAGATGCCTTATTCAACCCCTATTAAAAAAACAGCACCCAAACAATTTTTCAAGGGGGTACCCCATGAATGGCCCAGATACTCAAGAATATAATTGGTTGGATGGTACTCTATTGTGCACGACAACTTTTTGGGTGAAAAAAAACACCAAACCTTTTAATTATCCACCTTTCGTTGGGTAAAGCTGGTCCATTTACTTTAGAAAACTATACCCATGTTAAAGCATTGAAAATGCAAGGATTCTCAAAAATTAGATGCCTTATTAAATCCTTATTTAAAAAACAACACCCAAATAATTTTTCAAGGGGGTACCCCATGAGTGGCCGAGATCCTCAATAATGTAATTGTTTGGATGGTACCCTATTGTGCACAACAACTCTTTGGGCGTTTTTTTTTCGATTTGAAAGGAAAATCAATTGAAAGTAGATTCAAATGAATTGAAAGTAAATTGGTTTCAATTGAAATCCTTTCTTGTCAATATATAGATTTCTTTGAAGTTTAAAAGGAAAACCACTTGACAGTAGATTCAATTTGAATTAAAAGTAAATTGATTTCAATTGAAATCTTTTCTCATCAATAGATTTCTTTGAGGTTTAAAAGGAAAATCAATTGAAAGTAGATTCAAATGAATTGAAGTAATTTGATTTCAATTGAAATCCCTTTCTTATCAATAGATTTCTTTGATGTTTCAAAGGAAAATCAATTGAACGTAGATTCAAATGAATTGAAAGTAATTTGATTTCAATTGGAATCCTTTCTTAGCAAGAGATATTTTTGATGTTTAAAAGGAACGTCAATTGAACGTAGATTCAAATGAATTGAAAGTAAATTGATTTCAATTGAAATCCGTTCTTATCTAGAGCTGTTTTTGAGGTTTAAAAGGAAAATCAATTGAAAGTAAATTGATTTCAATTGAAATCCTTACTTAAGTTGACTATCCTAAAAATTGTTGGGGGGGGCGCAAAACATTGCGAGTTATTCAGTAGACTAAATTTGTTTGAGGGGGGGCCCTACACTAATCAGTGGCCTACATTAATTATATATATATATTTATGATTATAGACATTTAAACATATGTATACACAATGTATGCCAGTAACTGAAATTTCCACGCGTATATAATAATAACAATCAAATAAGCTGCATATGTCTACATCATATGCCTGTGTGTGAAACCAAAAACCATCTTTTATAATCCCTACCCCGTTAGCAGCGGAGGGAGGCAAAAATTGTAAGTTACAAATACTTAATTAGTTAATCTTTATAGACACTTATAACAAGGGATATTTAACAGTCCAGAACCTTGCCAGTCTAGATGGAAAATAGATGACTTTAAAGGGATAATTATCTACCCCATTCTGCCCCAGTGTTTGGTGATGTTTGGTGTATTTTCACCGATTCTCACATCTCCCGGTTGACAACGGCAGTCTACTGGGATGACTTGTTGCCTAAAAACATCCCCATGACCGTTGGGACCATGTTTTCGCCATGCTTTCGTGACATTAATTTCCACAACTCATCTTTATTGATCTCCTTCCTTTGATATACACATCTCAATTAATTATACACTACTGGTAATTTGTTACGTAAATATTGGAAATTGCAGTTTGGAGTGAGTTTATGAGAAATGGAGCTTCTCCATAGCTATGATATAACTTACCAGAGGGTAGCTTGCGGCGATTCTGTCCTGGTCACCGGGGCTTTACCCCACCGCAGCCAAATGATCAGCGATTGGGTGGGAATCTGGGAAGGATCCGCTACAGGCGACCCTTGCACAACATAAACAAGACACTTTGATCATTTGATCCGTCGACTTCATGTCCAAGTAAACAAAAGCCGCATCAAAGTCGTTTTCCATCCAACTTCATTCAGGAGCAGAAAAAGACACGAAACAAACCACATGCAAGAAAACCCGATCAGGACATTTACAAGTCCCATGTTCTTTCAATTGATCTTCCGCTATTGATGATACAACATGCTTTCATATGTATTTTTCCGGCTGTATGATGTATGCATGCCCCTTAAGCTAAAGTTGATCATTGGATAATCGCTGCCCAGCATCTCTCTGAAGGTCGAAGGATCGAACCTTTGCTAGGTGTGTATCTTGAACCCATGAAATTACGAAATACCCAACACAATGGGTCAAAGTATCAAGGACATCCAAGAATGTGTTTCCTAAGTGTTGGAATATGCTTTTCAATGGCAAGATTGAAGGTCTACATTCACTGAACCACTTCAATTGCCAGCCGCAAAGTCCAACACTGGCCACAAATGCCCCCGAGCAGCACGTGCACACGCAGGGGTGGCAAGGTCCCATAAATTGTCTCAGGGAGCGCTAGACATTCGACCGAAAAATCAGGTTTCTAGAAATGGGGGACCACTAAAAAACACCGAAGAAAAAAACATTCTCACTTGAGGACACCAATCTTTTCGGCTACGGATCCTAGTTTTCAGGAAAACGTAACTATGGGCCCCTTCTGAAAGGAATACAAACTGGCGGTACGCAGATGGTTCCTGCGGTAATCGGCTTCAACTTTAAACCCTCACTTCATCCCGAAAAAACTCTCGAGCCCTGAACGGCGATTAGTGCATGCATGACCCTTCCAATGATGTTCGGTGTAGGTGTTTGGTCACTAATATTAATGTCACCCCAAATGAATATTGACCCTGTTTGATTCATTCTGGGGGTTACTGCGGAAAAAAAAGGTGAATATACATTGCGACCAAGATGGTATCTGCTCCAATGATCAACAGCCAAGGGGGGTGTCACGCACCACTTTGAAACTTTGGGAAGTGCCTAGGATCGACTTGGGTTTAGTAGGGGCTTTTGTGCATGGTGACTTCTGGGTCGCTGAATGTTTTTCAGTAGCCCGTGTTACCCTAAAAAATCCTCAAACCATAACATCCCCAATGACGCCACCCATGGGGCCAATGCAATTTGATGGACAATCCTACGCATGGGCTCAGAAGTGAACCATACCTCCAACTGCAAACATCTGCAAACCACATGCATACTATTCGGGCGTGTCTCAAAATGCGGTTTACCAGTATATGGATCGAACACATGGTGAGGGAAATCAGTCCGCTAGCTTGCTGACTTCAAAACCTTGAAACATAGTCAGTAGGCACCATAATCGTCGAATATTGTTAAACATAAACAGATGACAAAGGTATGATTGAAAGCATGAAAATTTCCATAGTTCTTCTCCTAGAGTTGCCCATAGATATTCTGATGGATCTGGAACAAAGTCAGAATCCACCAGCCAACCTGGATAAGTTTCTATCTTTTTGGCGGTTCCTCACATATTTTTAAGCTTGCATCAGCTCTTCAGCTTGCCACGCCTGCAGCTCTTTGTACATCCACAGTGCTCGAGTTGAGCGAGAACCATTCCTTGCTGTTGCGGCTGTTGCGGCGATTACCTTTGGAGGGGTTGAATCCAGTAAGAAGAGATGGGGGGTTGGTGCCCATGGGGCCAAAACCTTGGTGCTCACATTGCCAAGGAACCGAATAGCAACAGATTGGTCGATGATGGGATGTTCAAACCAATTGTTGGGGCTTATTTGGAGCTGATCCACCACCAAATCGGAAGTGGTGGTTCAAAGTCCATGACGTGACATGAGGCTGGGGCAATAATGATAGCTTGACATGAACAAGAGGATAGTTCTTACTGGTTGACATAAGTTTTTGTGTACTTTCCCGGCTGCAAATCATAAGTGGCAGTGCATGGTGGAGTTGCAGATTCAACATGATTCAACTCCAAGCACAAACATTACCAACCTGTGCATGTTGTGATACCATTTACACCACAATTTTCACTTCACAGGTTGTACTGATCCCATCCGATTCCCATCAATCGCACAGAGGTTGTCTGGAAAATTTGAAGCCAAACAAACCCATCCTGGGAATCAATTGTTCATGCAATGCCAATATCTTACCCTTTGTAGTGATCACCCAAATACATCCAAATACTCTAGTTTAGCCTTGGATCTAATCCTTTGGGAGCTTACCTATGAAAGAATTCAATGTTACTGGGCCCCCTGTTCAACCCCAAAACTGCTCATCCAAATACTCTAGCTTTCAGTGTCCATTCATTTTGACTATTGCCTGAAGATGCTCAACATTCCCGTGGTTCCAATGGATCGATTTTGCCGGGGTCCAACAACAAACACAAGAGTTTCAACCCCAAATTTTCCCTTCTAGGAACAATAAAAACATGTTCAAAGATTCAACTCACCACTATTTTGGACATGGGTGTTCTAAGAGTTCTACTTTTCGGAACTTGGTTGGGTGGGTGCTATGTTTTTTTTTGGTATTTGATGACTGGTTGGTGGTTTTAACCTATCCAAACAAAATATCAGTAATCTCGACTAATTATCCCAAACATGGTTGAAGCACCATAAACATGGTATCAACCCCCCAGATCATCATTGGTTGTATACCCGTTATTTCTAACTTATGGTATACATATATATATATATATATACACCCAATTTTAGCTGGCTCCTGAGATGTTATTCTGTCAAAATGGCATCAGCGGGGGATCTCAACCCGGCGGCATATGGTACAACACCATCTCCTCAGCCATGGCGATTCACCGCCGGCCAGTCGCGTCGTCGCTGGAGCCCAAGTTCACTGCGGGGCCAGCAAAGGAAATTGGTTTGTGAGTGAAGTGTAATTATATAGTATTTATGGGATATGAATGGTGACAATTTCATGGAAGCGAAAGCGCTTGGCCAAAAAAAAGGTAATTGGCAAGTGGAGCAGCGGTAGTTGTGGATTGGCACATGGGATGAAACATGCTCTGGGCCAGGGGTCCATCCGGCTTTTCCTCACTGAACATCTTCACAAACGTGGTGGGATCTAATAAGATCAAATAAGCCCTTCACATGAGATGTCGAACTGCCATTTCCAAGTCGGAAATGGCTAACTTTCTGCCAGTGAACTGCTGCTGCTAGGCTTCCAGACGCTTCAAGAGATTTCAGTCAGCTCGGAATACTGCTGGGCGCCCATCCTAGGCATGGACCCGGCTGGTACATGCTGGGTAAATGCTTGGGAAATGGCTTTGGCACAAGGTTTGGTACTTGAAAAGGTCTGGCGCTGTGCACATATTTGCATAGCAGGGGCGGAAATTCCAGGGATTCAAACTCAAATGATGGGAACCCATTTCCATAAGTTTCCCATAGTGTTCCCACAAAAAACCTCAATAATACAGGAAGTATATGGGAAGATTTTGGGAATCAGGTAAATCTTCATTCGGGGGTCCCAAGACAATCACGTAGGAAAAGCAGCAAACATGAAAAGAACCCATTTCCTAAGCATCTGTGAAGTCATCACTCCATAAACTGAATTTCGATAGATTTCGATTATAAAATTGTGCCTCCATTGTGTGCGCTTTTCCTTAGTGGGATTCAAAAAATCCACTGATCACAATCTCAAATGTTACTGAGATTACACATGATTACAATGCCTGGCAGCTACGGCCAGCTTGGATGAACCATGTCCCCACTTGGATAGGAAATTGCTCGAAACACATTCTCCCATCTCCCACCAGCCCCTACAGGGTTATAAACGTTCAGGATCATCCCAACATGAAACCGGCCTTACGTCATGGGGTTGCAAGTACAATACCCATAAAAATCACTGTTTTTCCCTGGCTGTCAAGCATTCAGCAGCTGTTTCTGCTCATTGAACATGTTTCCGTATCAACTGACCCACACCAAGAATCATTAAAACACATCATGGATCTTTCATATCTTTCTAATTATAAAATGATCTGCCAGCTGCCATACTTGTTGTTCTTGAATGTTCTTGCATGTTCTTGACTTCCAGGTCCAACTGGTCCAACTGGTCCAACTGGTCCAACTTACAACCAAGCTTCAAGCTCGGCGATGCCCGTCTATGATGCGATGGATTAAAGACTGGTCGGCCTTCACATTCCTGGCCACCAAAAAGCCCCCCAGGTGCCCCAGGAGCAAACTGCATTTACGGATGTGACGGATGTGAACATACTTCGCTATGACGAAAATGGACCAAACATATACTGTATACTTGACTTGTATTTTTCATTGTTTTTTTAATAATCTGATACGCACGACTCATGTCAAATTCATGGCTCTGCGTTTTAAAGTCCTTGGCCGTGCTGATCAGAGGTGACCACTCTTGGTGCTTCAACCACCAACCAATTTGAGCGAATCACTGACAATCAGTGTAACCATCTTAGGCGAGGCTGGAAAACAGATTGAAGCTGAAAGCAGTCAAATTCATTTGTCTTCATCTGTCATCATCTATCATCATCATCATCTATCATTTGCTTCACAAAATAATCCCTTCCCCCTAATATTCAACACCACACGGAAACCCTGATTTAGTAGAAATTACACATATTTGGGACTTTTAGGTGTTTAATCTGAAGGGGGATGGGATTAGTAATTTTCCATATTCATCCATATTCTTTGGGTAGAAACCTTTTGATTGCCTATGATGAACATACTCGTTGGTACATCTCCCTGCAGGGCAGCCAAGGTGGCATAGCGCAGCCGGGTCGCGCGACGGATCAGAAAAATGCCGAAGCAACACGTGAGCACCTCACCACGGACTCCCTGAAGCCCAAACCGAACTAATGTGGACTTTCGAGTCACAACGTCCAAAGATCTACTTGCTTGACATGTCTGGATTCACAACGATAAATCGAGGTTTGATGGGCCTCACATGCTTTTCATATTTTGTTTCGAGGGTTCATATTTAATGTTAATGTGCGACCTGGATTGAGGGTTGCTTCAATCCGCATGTGTTGGAGCAAATCAGCAATCTGCACTTTTTTTTTTTAAAAAACTTAGAGTTCAAATTTGACCCGGCTTTTTCCACATTCCTCGCAGCCTTGTCCGTCTATCTGATGGCTTCAAAGCAAGACTTCGCTACTCGGATGCCACGGCACGGCCACCGAGCCCGTGATGAGCACGGCAGTGTGCCAAAGTTGCTGGAGAGTATCATGGGCATATTCTCCCGTTGAGGTGATGCCTAGAGGTAGATGTGGAAGTTAAGGAAGGCTTGGGATGGCTTGGGATGGCTTGGGGATTCTGTTTTCCATGACAATCATGAAATCTCTAAGCATGTTTTTTTTTAGAATTATGGCAGGACATCATCAGCAATCCCATAAGAAGTGCTCATGACAAAACCTCCAGAAAATTTGGTCGCTCAACCATGCCATGCCATGGCTGTCCTCGGCTCAGCGCACCCCAGGTCTCATTGATGAGGCGCACTTCGTCCATATTTTTGGCCACTCCTGCAATATTTTAGGGACAGGAAAAGCTCCAGGATGGATCACTTTCCATGACAAAGCCAAGGTGTTCTCAGGCTGCGGTTTTCTGAAAAGGCCATATGTCATAGTATCACCACGTATCACCCTTATTCAGAGGCTATTGAAATATTCCCCTCTCCCTGATATTCCCCCCTTCCAGATCATGGTGTAGTATTGGATCATTGGATCTATTCATTTTGGGGTCTTCTATTTGGGGCATTGCAGATTAGGCTTATTAGGGGGAAGGGATCTCCGCTCTTTCAAAGCTCTGACAGTCATGTCGCCATGGCCGTTTTTTTCGGGCTCAAACACCTGATAGCCCGGCGCCAAACGAGCAATGGTGGGTAGGAGATTCTGGTGAATTCACGCCATTTCACTCAGGCTCTTGAAGTCTTGTTTGGGGAGCCATCTGTTGTCTCTGACATCGCACCGCGCGTGTCCTGTCCTGCGCAGGAAAAAAAGTCGCCATTGCGTCCGGCACAGAAATGGTCTGCCCGGCAAGCAGCATACCAGGCATCACCTGAGGCTCGGGTCATCTTGGGTATACCACCCCTTCAAAAAATGTATGAGTCTCTGGGGATCATCTATGCAATGGAAGTCGTCACTTTGAACCAACAAATAGGTATTATCTACAACATATATGAATTAACAAATAATAAAGTGTGAACTATCATGAACTATCACATATTATTCAAATATAATTTCATGCAAATGGTCTGCCCCAAGCTGCATTGGCAGGCAGCTTGGATTTTCCGACTTAGTCTCTACCACGCAGCACAACCAGTACAGCACAAGGGACAATACGAAGCCTTGATGGGCATCTGGTGCAACTCCCAGGTGTTGTGACTACCTCAGGTCACAACACTCTGCCAGCAATTTTTCTCTGCTTTTGGATGGAAAGCAAAGTGATGGGGCCTACGGGCCTACCCACTTCTAAGGTCAGCTTGTGTATTAACTAACATAAATGTTCGAGGTGTTTTTTCCATATTTGTGGTTTAACACAATGCCAAGGGTCCTGATCAGACACCTATATTATAGATATATAGATATTTATAGATCACCTCCTATCGTAGCTAGAGAATGCACATGTGCCCACTAAGTGCGCTCCCGAAACTCTTCACATCCGAGCCGCAAAGTCTGCTGGCCGCATACCTGGCCGCATGGGTCTGAACAAAACGACTGGAATCGACTGGAATTATGTAAAATGACCCCCAAATGGTTAGTTCATGGAATGGTCATAGGGTTTACCACATTGTCTATATTGTCTACAAAACGGATGAGCAAACATCAGCAATTGTTCGAAGGCTTTTCAATCTGTTGAAAATGTTGGATATCAATTGGTGCATGTTGGAAAAGTACAAATATTATCCACATGCCACTGGCCTTGGCCATGGCGAAACATGCCAGGCACGACATCGGGCTGTAGTTGCCACTTTGTGCATCACAGCGCGGATCATAATGGTCAGCATCATATTTACCTTGGGACATGGGTTTTTACCATGGGTATAAAACCATGGTGTTTTTGATCATGGTTTCTCAGGTACCAAGATTGGACATTACCATCATATTTACCTTGACAAACTCAGGGAATCTCTGGCAACAGTGCTAAAATAGATCCCAGGCACGGTAGAAGCCCACGTTAGCATCGCATTCCTGGGAGCTGGGTGAAAATGGAAGTGCCAACAAGTATCCTCCGCTAAAGTTGCCAGAATTTTCCATATACCGTCTACGCAATTTTGGACAAATCCAAAGGTGAAATGTAGCAAGTGAACCTGAGATCTAGATCCATAACAAAGATATACCCCTTTTACATTAATGAACCTTTTTTCCCACAGCTTACGGCATATTATAATCCAGAAATCCATACCCTGAAGGGTTAAAGTAAATCGGGTCTACCACATCGTATCATTCAAAATGTGGTTCTTGAGATCAAAGGATCACATTCGCAGCTTCAGCATGCCACCGTACTCAAATGCTAAACAAGAACACAAACACGGATGAACAGAGAACAGTACCCTTTCATTTCATCTATATATAACTCCTATAAGATTCCTGATGTATCAAGGGATATATCATCCTTCCTGACCACCAACATCCAGGTCTAGACTTAAGTGACTTAAGTGCTTGATTGTTTTGATCATCAGCCAAAAGCAGCTGAAACTGTCATCATAAGAGGCGGTTCCCATATCTTGCCCATCCCGAGCCGCAACGCTCCCAATATCTACGGCCAGTAAAGGAAAAGCACCAACTATAAAGCACAATCATATAGTCATATATAGTGAAAAGGATACATGATCTACATATCATACAGATTTATACAGTATACAATTAAAAAACAACCAGATATATAATTACATGATCATATATATATATATATAATCATTGATATGATCTAACCATATAATCCAATGCTGGCCATCACTTGTCACCACAATGGTAGATGACATCTCACCACTTCATCATACTTCATCCAAAAGACGTAGAAACACGCTTCCTGCACAAAAAAGCGTTCACACTCTTGCGACAGTGGGCCACAACGGTCCCAATGGAAGGACTCCTGTGGCGTGGAGCTGCTGAAGGCGAAAGGAGTTGCCTTAACGGGATACCTTGCCGTAAAGTAATGCAAACATATTTATGTCTGATATACATAGACAGCAAAAGTAACACAAAACAAACATAAACAAACAACATATGCAAAAGATCTATCCAAAATAATTTGCTGCTTTATGATTATGTTGTTTCTGCGTCTCCATCTTTTTTTTATCTGCTGGCAGCCACATTCAGATTTCATACTTTACATCTTCTGGTAGGACCACTGGGTTAGAAAGTCCATTCCAATGGGCCAAACCCCTGGGTAACGGTAAATACGAACCATAGCAGCATTTACCGAAGCCGAAACTAATGAAAACTACCCATTTACGAAAGAAAAACATGAAACACACAAGCGCACTGATCATTTAGGATGCAATTTCCGCTTGTTCGCCCGAAGCATGTTTTCCAGTGATGGCGGGTAGTAGTACTATCTCAACATTTTGTTGCTTAGAACCAATTGCATCCATTGCATCCATTGCATCCACTACTTAATGAGTCAATCCCTCACATTGTGTTAGTCCAATATCCCCATGCATGTTCTTGATGTCAGTGTAATGGTAGATACATCGTTTCGCACTGGCAATGCTTTGACCTTTCTCTGAATGCATACTTGGTTTTGGGCAACCTACCGTAAAACACCCATTGGTCCAAAGTCGGTTATGTCAAGACTTGTTATATTTAGGATTACTTGCATGCTCTTCCGCAAAGACCATCGTGCATCAACTTTGCCACCATTAATGGTGATGTTAAAACACAGTGATGAAGATGGGATAACCCATTTGAATCCATTGATTTTGTTTTAACCGTCATAAATAACGGTCAACCATGAATTAAGATTAAAATGATGTTGTTTTTTGGTGCAACTAATTAACATCAATTATGTTTTAAATTAAAAAAACACCTATAATTATATACAGTAACATTCATGAATTTCATGCCAAGCAAAGTTATTCAACCCCACTGCTTTCCATGCCCTGGGAGGACTCGCTCATCGGTCGCCCCAGGTCGCTCCCCAAAGCTGCTCTTCAGCACATCCAGGGAGCCAACCTAAGCGCTTTATCTCAGCGGTGGATCGAAGAGCGCTTTATCTCAATGATCATCTTCAAGTCATTCACTAAACACGATGGATAACTGCTTGGTGGTTTCAACTGGTTGACCTACCCCTCTGAAAAATATGAGTTCGTCAGTTGGGAATATTATTCACTAAACATGTCATGGATATTAATTGAAGATAATCATTGAAGATGGATAAACTAAGCACATGAAGATTAATCATCAATGATCATAATTCATAATTATTCACTAAACATATCATGATCATTAATGAGTTGATGAATGTTGATGATTCTGGCCAAACAAAAGCAACATACAGCAACTATGAATGAGTTGATAATTAATTCAGTTGAGTTGATGATTCTGGTGTGTTTTATCTAGATATATGTAGATATTGACAAACCAGCAGAAAACCATGACAAACCATGATAAATCCAGCAGAACAGCGGCCGTCGCTTGACGACTGCAGGCATTGTTCCTCCAGGGATGACATTCCGAGACCGTGGGCTCCGGGCTCGGAACGTCCTCGCGCGATGGGAATCTCCGTTGTTGGACAAAGGACGGACCAAAAAGAATGGGAATCCCAACAAACATCTACAAACATAATGTAGATATATATCTTGAATGTGGATTTATATAATATGATTTAATCTGAATGCTGTGAAAGTTAGGGGAGAAAACGTCATTATACAAGCTCCTGAAACTCAGCATGAAATGTGAGCATTGGCACAAGTACTGGCCAACAGCAGGGTGGGGCCCTGTGACAGTGATGGTTCCCCTGTTCAACTGGTACACAATGGTACACATCTTCTTGATAGGGGATGGAAATGGATGGAAGAGGGTCCCAACTTTCACCTGGGAGCTATGCCCAGCTTTGGCTTCTGACCCACAAACATTTCACCATGGGAGTGTTGCTAGCGGAAATCATGGGTAGTGCCACCTCCAGCCCCAATTGGTACCTCTGATAATCAAACATGGCTAATTATTAAGATTTGCCTGTGTGTAGATTATTTGCCTGTAATCCTCTATTTGAAATGGTGATTTTCCATAGCTATGCCAAATTACTGGGGTATGAAGATCCTGGGAAGAAACGGTTTCCTTGTGGTGGTGATGAAGATTGCAGGATTCCGATCGGTTGTGACCCCAGCGTGCCGAAGTGGCGTCGTTGGGATTGGCGGCATCGAAAAACCACATGGTGTAAGCGTGAGACTCCTCAGGGTGCAGGGGTAGATCCCTACAAGCTGCTTCTGGAATGAGAAAAATGAGAAATCTCAAGCAGAAAAATGCATGGCCGGCAAAATATTTGAGGCTACTGTGTGAAGCAGCATTTTTCAAGGGACTCAAAGCTACATCCAAAGAATTTCTCCCCCATGAGATGAATATTCTCTGTGAAATCATCCTGGTGGCCGGGTTAATATAAATTCCCTGCAACACCTGGAGTAGATACAGAATCATTAGGATGAGAAGCTTCCCCCCTGTTAATCAAATCAACACCTTGACTAAAACTAAAACATGTGCTTTGTTCAGTACAAAATCGATCAAATTGAACTATTGCCAAACATTCAAATTCGAAGTTTTTTCTCCTCAGAATCCAATCAAAACTTTAAAATATACTGAAATTGTGCATTTCAAAATCGATCACATCCTTTATTAACATCTATATAACTGTCATTTGGCAAAATCTGTAAAATCGAAGCTTTCCCCTAATAGTCTAAACAAAACCTGAATTTACAACACATGTTTGTTTCCCATTTCGAAATCGATCTAATCCTTTATTGAAATCTAATTAGACTATTGCAAAAACTTGATTTAACGACGCTTTCCCTTAATGATCAAATTAACACCTTAATGAACAAGACTTGTCAGGGATCCTAATAATAAACCGCTCGCAACCAACTAGCTTGCTTTTTAAAACACTATTAGCATCATTGATATTAAGTAAGTTAAGGGGTGAAACATTGTGAAACGATAAAATGGAACCTTGAATTCTAAAACAAATTGACCAAGCTCAAATTTCCGGAAATTCGGAATGGACCCTAGTTGGGTACGTTTAGTAATAGGGGGAAGGGGTTACTTTTTTAAATCATTGAGCCAACATCTTGTTCGCAAACTCCACAGGTTTGCTTCGCTGAACTGTGCGTTCTTGTCGGTGACTAGTGGCTTCGGGTTGCACCCCCCCAGTGGCTCATGTTTGAGGACCCCACATTCAGCCAAGCATCATTTGCCTCGTACACAAACGCAGATCCCCACATCTTCTCGCACAAATCCTGCTGCAACGGACGGTGGGCCGCTTTTCAAGGAGATCAGAGACGATGAAAGTTGGGATTTCAAGCAGTGAGCAAGAAGGATATGCAGTTGGTACAAGAAACAAGAACTGCTCATAACCGGAGTTTCACTTGAAATAAATGAGGCTAGCGGCTCTCAACTAAAAAATAAAACAAACAAACAAACAGCATATAAACAAATTGAATCAATTTGGGGCTTCACAAGAATATGATTTCAGCATGTTTAACTAACTCACAAAGAACGCAAAGGCAGTTTCAAGATCAGTAGTTTCCTGGAAAAAACAACAACTCTGCCTGGCATCCTGCTGCGGATTTGCAAGTCCTTGCCAGATGTATAGATCTGATCGATCCGTCTGCAATTCCTTAGGCTCAACGTTTATCTGGGGGCATCATCCGTTGGGGGTATGGCAGCCACCTGAAGGTCAGGTGCAAACAGCCAACATACAACCAGCACGGTGCCATGCTGCGCCGCCGTGCTCTGGTAGAAGGCTGTCACGACCGGCGCTGTCCCAGTTGCCAGAAGCGTTGAAAGGCCAAAGATCATGGCTGAACATGACCCGAAGCGCTTGGAAAAAAAAACAGGTGCGAAACTCTAGATGGCGTGCTGCAACGCAATCATTGCATTCGACGCATCTCTATATCATGTGCATATAATTAAAATATATACATCGAGGTTACAACTTATAAAAGGCATGATGCATGGCAGTCCGTATTGCAGGATACTGGAAAAGATCTTCAGTGGCAAGTTGTGTCCCAATTCTGGCATCCACGTGTTCACATGTACTTTTGAGACGAACCTCAAAGGGTCAAAGGACCAAACAAAGGAAACCTCTATTCGTACACGAGTCAAAGTAACAAATCAAACTTGAGGTCTTCGGGGTGTTTGAAACCTGTTCATCAGTTTCTGTGTTTGAAACCTGTTCATCAGTTTCATAAAATGCAAGCCTCATGGCAAATGCTGACACTGGCAAGAACAAGATACAACTCCAGGGATTGGGATGGATTCTGTGGTGTGTCTGAAAAGAGGGTACCCCAAATTCTTTTGTTGAATCCTAACGCACCCGTTAGGATTGCCATTTAAGGGGTCGGTAGACGGTATAGTCCGGTATAGTAATGTATAATTAGTAACCGTTTTCAAACAGACACGCCAGTCCTAAGAACTGCAGGCACGACTCGACTCTCCCGTAACTCAGGATGGCGATGGAAATCCCCTTCTGGATCAGTAAATCAACTTACACCTGGCCGATGTTCAATTGCTGACGCATCTTCACCAAAAGGTGCAAATTTTCCTGAGATGTCATATCGGCTGAAAAAGAAACTTTTGGACACTTTTTGGGGTGGGTAAGTCATCTGGAGGGAGAATGTCTTGATGTGCCGTCAATTGGCACCACAAAGCGGCATCCTGCAATGGAGTCCGAAACTGTTCTTTTGGGAAGTGGAAAATCCTCAATGGACTGCCACATGGGTTTGGACATGGGGTAACGGTTCCTCTTTCAAATTGTTATTTACGGGGTATAGTCACAGCCACATCCTCATTGCAGCCACCGCGCCAAAAAACCTCACCCAAAGTGATGCCTCATCCGGAGGTGCTCTTGCTGCCGCAGCATTTGAAGAGCCTAGTGGTCCACATCAACAGCCTCTGTATGTTGTTGTTGTTGTTGTGGTTGTTGGTTTTGGTTGTGGTTGTGGTTGTTGTTGTTGTGGTTGTTGTGGTTGTTGTGGTTGTTGTGGTTGTTGTTGTGGTTGTTGTGGTTGTTGTGGTTGTTGTGGTTGTTGTGGTTGTTGTGGTTGTTGTGGTTGTTGTGGTTGTTGTGGTTGTTGTGGTTGTTGTGGTTGTTGTGATTGTTGTGGTTGTTGTGGTTGTTGTGGTTGTTGTGGTTGTTGTTGTTGTTGTTGTTGTTATGTTTGCCACCGTAAGATTCGGCAAAAATACCACTACCAGTGTTTCCTTGCTATATCAAGGAACTGCTTTGGTAAACCGCCAAACCAGCATCCCCAAGTCATCATCATGCAAACATGCGGATATCGGATGTTATAAGTAGTACAGAATGGCACTTAAACAATCCCCAGTCATGGGATTTCATAATCTATGGGATTTCTATGGGATTTCATCATCCATTTCAACCTCCCATGGCCTTAAACCAATGTTATCCAATGTCGAGGCATTGGATTTCCCACAAAGAACGACAGATCTGGATCTGAGTTCGTGCACCGCAAGCCATTGCATGGACGATTCACAGGCCTTCACCTGGGGCGCAACTTGACTATTATGGTGGTGGTAAAACACCCCTCTTATAAAGTAGGTAAATCAACTACAAATGGGACATTTGTTCAATAGATACTGCAAAATGTTTTCCCAGATTTCTGTTCTGTTGTGCATTAGCCATCCGACAGAACGATGTTTTCCCAGATTTCTGTTCTGTTGTGCCCACACCTTTTGCGTCACATATCCCAATATATATATATACATACCTTCTTTTTTGATATCATACTAACAACCCATTATATATAATTATATATATCCATATGTTGATGGAAATTATATCGCCTACCGATGCTCTGTGATAATGGGGTTTAAGCTGTTATACTGTAATATCACAACATCCCATTCTATCCCAATCAAAATAAACTGGTAAACCGTAAACCCTACAATTAATCTTCCCCAATCTGACCTACACAAAAGGGTGTAAAAAGCCACCCCAAATGCTATGTTTACCATTGGGTTTACCACATTCACATTGTGATCACATTAGTTAGCCACATTTATCACTATCAATCAATCACTGTATTAATCAGTAAAAGTCACTATTGTTCATCATTACTAACCTTTATTAATAATAACTTCGAACCAACCAAACGAGGATGTAACCAATGATAGACATATTGTTAAACAGTTAGTTGGCCCATAAATAAGATTAGCGCATTAGTTCCCAAAAATACATAGATATGTCTCCCTATAATATCGTCATTACTTGGAGGCTCATCCCACTTAGTGAATCAATAAGTGGTGAATCACCATGGTAAGTGATTGTTAACATCTTACTAGGTGGTATGATTCTCCAAGTAAAAAGAAACACCAAATTAAAGGAACCACTTTCATATTCAACCCCCATTCATAATACCACATTACCTATATAATGTTAAATTCAATATAAAATAGCATTGAATGAACATCAATAATGGTTAACAACTCCATTAATCATTGATACATCTATGTCCAAATATATATATAGTACACAATAATATTATATAATACAATATAATATAATATGATATAATATAATATAATTTAATATAATATAATATAACATAACATAATATATTATAACATAATATAATATAATATAATATAACATAATATTATATAATATAATAAAATATAATATGATATAATATGATATAATATAATATTATTTAATATAATAAAATATAATTTCAAATAATAAAATATAACATAACATAATATAACATAATATAATATAATATAACATAATATAACATAACATAATATAATATAACATAATATAATATAACATAATATAATATAATATAACATAATATAATATAATATAACATGATATAATATAATATAATCTAATATGATATAATATGATATAATATGATATAATATAACGTGGGTAAAAGAATCGTAAACCATCCCCCAGTCATCACCATTTTTGTAGGTGGTATATATAAACCATACCCACTCGACTGGGTGGGAAAAAAACATGGAAGCTCTGAGGCACCCGGCTGTTGCCCCGAAACAGACCTGGCTGTTTTGGCATCTGCTCCCAGCCATGCGCGCCAGGAGCTCCGTGGCCTGGGAGAGGTGATGGAAGGACCAGGACTTTTAATGAGCAAAAAGTGGAAAGTTACCCACCAAAATCGTGTTTACTATATATGTTTACTTTGTATGTTTACTATATATGTTTTTTTTAAACCACATATATCATTTTACCTTTCGCCACTGCAAAAACACACGTCCATATCTGCAAATGTCACTCGGATACCAGGTAAGTCCTGCATGGGCTTTAGAACGACTCCCATATATACGTGTGTCTTGCCAACCATCACCTGAGACCAGGGCCATTTGCCAGGACCTGGCACGATTTTGCTGGACAACAACTGACAATCTGAACCCATCGAAGCGTTATTGGTCTTGGAGGGGTCAACAAAGACTGGCTGGTTTTATTGCGATCTTGAACAATATAATGTATATTATAATAAATAGCAATATTAATTTTGTAATTTGTAATGTCAATTAAAACTATCATCATGTGGTTGGGAAACTTGATTTGTAGCTCCTTGGCTCCCTTGTGGATATCTATAGTTTTTAGCTCCCTCCCAACCACCGGATGGAGAGATGGCGGTAGTGCTCGGGCTTCAGGAGTTCAACACCATATACCCTGCAACTGTCTTGTAAAAACAGCATGGGAACCCAAAGTGCCTTCCAGGAACGAGGCTGTAACTCCCTCATATTTCCCTGCTGTAGAGAGTTGTAGTTGTAGTAAATAATATATACAAATCAATTTCGCACAATTAGGTGGACTTCGCTTGGGGGCACATCATAATAAATATAAATATAAATATAAATATAAATATTTATTATTATTATTATAATTATTATTATTACTGTAAACATTTCACCCCTTACGTCCAGTGACACCAGTTCAAACTGTTCTTTTTACTCAAACCGAAAGCAAGATCACGTCGCACCTGGCTATGGTGCTACCACCCTGTGACCCCCGCCGCAATGCACATATTAGTAGTGGATCAGTTCCCGAGGGATTGACGTGGATCGAATCGCAACAGAGGATTAATAGATACTAATAGACTATCATGCTATTCATCAGGGGGGCACCAATTTAAAGAATGATTTATCACTCCTTTGGGGTACTTGCCACCCCACTTGATCCGCAGTCTCCTCGCGATGTTCAATCCAAAGCTGGTGTCCCACGCTCAGATGGCATGACGACGGTAATGCCCACATCCTGGTACCTGGACAGGCTACTCATGGGTGCCCCTTTCTCATGATGACATCTGCAGTTTTGATGTGTTATGTTGAACTCCTCACGGAAATGAGGTTGAACCAAGAGTTTGATGGTTCATTCAGGATATGTTGTGGGTGAAAGCCCTGTGGCGGTCAATTCCCGATTTTAGACGAACCAGAAAACAGGATTTCTGCGCCAATGTAAACAAAATCAAGTCGGAGCCTTGGCAGCAAAACAAAATATGGATGGACACGTTGACTCAACAGGATTTGGAAGTTCTGCACAAAACATACAACGAATTGTTGACCCCTCATCTATTGCAGCTGCCAACCACGGTAGTTGTTCATTTGGATTCGGCCCATCTGCAACCATATGCTGTCGGCCGCGTTGATAAACCCCGATGACTTTTTTTTTGGGGGTTACCCGGTTAATTACCCCCAACATATCCAAAATGATGATACATCATACGCATGATCAAAAATTGATGCCCCCTCTTGTTCTGAATCCTGGAAATTTATGAATCCCAGATTGACATTGCATGTGTTCCCCCTCATTTTCCTTCACCAAGCCGGCCCTGGCCACGTATCGAAGTAGAGATCGAACCAGGTCTGCAACGCCTCATCAATGCCGTGCCGAGTCTTGCTGGACACCTCCTGGATGCTCAGTGCCCCAAAGATTGCCCCACATCTTTGCACTGATTGCACTCTTCCATTCCAACGTTCCAAATTACCACACGGTACTGTGGCATTAATACACCTTAATAAGGGTAACCGCTGACTGGGATGACATTGGACAGTCATATGGTCGCATGGGGCCAACCATGTAAATACCATACTAATTGCAATCCCATCCGGTAATCATGTGTAGAAGGGATCTCTCTTTAGTGTTTCATATTGCCAGGAAGGAGGAATTGTACCATTGAATTTAAATTTTTTACAGTATACAAATAATAGACCCTACGTAATTAAACTTCGTAATTGAACTGATAATGCATCAACAATCACCTACGTAATTAAACTTCAATATCTGTTTTCATCTGATTTCTATGAGATACCTTGGGATACTCAAAGGGATTACGGGTAGATTCAATACAACCCACGAATCCACTTACTGATCTTCATGGACACACAGGTATGGATCAAAAATAGGCTATCCCAAAAGTGTTTCCCACCATTTCTCCCATCAAAGTTGTGCAATTGTGCGGCGCAATATGCACCCTATACCGTGCATTAGTATAAATATAGACTATAGATACATAATTACATAAATAATAATATACAGTACATATGGCCACGGTCAATAATATAGCTCCAAGTAATCTATTTTTGAAGAGTGTATTATCGTTTTTCAGGTTTTGAGAATACAGCAAATGTTATCGTTTTTTGAAGAGTGCATTATTGTTTCCAAGCCCCAGCTCAATTTCCAAAAAATAAAGATGTCTCGAATATACTACTTTCCATTACGGTAAATTTTGGCTGTAGCGCACAACCAACTTCATGCCCATATATCACACAACACATTTGGATTATACATATATAATTCACATAATAACATAATGGTTAAATATACTGTATATATAGAAAGGTGACCCTGTCCTGATACACGCAATCCAGCTCCGAGGCCAAGCGAATCGCCTCCTGAGCGACTGGCAAAATAAAATGAGAACAGTGGTTGAACATGCTGGGAAAATCACACTTAGATGCACTAATATTAGGGGTGAAAACTTAGCTGTTTTTTTGATTGCTAGATGTATGAAATTGTATAAATGAATTATCGTCAATCAGGTAAGCATTAAACACATGCCCCAATTGCCTTTGTGAAACTGGTTATGCCGGAAGGAATGGAGTTATGTATGGTTATGTAAAATGACCCCCTTGAATGGTTGGTTATACCTGAGTGGTTTACCATTTGGTTTCCCAATCTACTTGGAAGGACACCAAAAAAGGGTATGGTGCCCAATCTTCAAGTGCCATTGGACTCGCACTTAACTTCCCCTTATGCACACACACATTAGTATGCATTAGTGGTCTCTTTGGTTCTGCATCTTTGTTGGCTTTTCAGGTGGAATGTCTATATTCTGCTTCTGCTTCTAAACGAAGACCCTTCATGAGCTCTGTCCTCCGACATTATCAAAAGGGAAATGATACTTCTACAACTGGCCCACACGATTATTCGATATTATTCGATATTATACGATATATATATATTTATGATATATGTTTCCGCGTATTCTATCTATAAACAAAAACAAACATGTTCGGAGAACCTTTACCAACCCAGTTCGAAGCGTTTTAAGTTTAGGCCCAAGGCTCTTCCTCCGACACTTGCCGACGGTCGCGCTTCACATCCGCATGGGTACCAATCAGCATGGCACAGCGCCGCGCATGTGGGCAGGGCACTGCCTCGGCGGAATTTATGGCAATCTCGTGGGTGTCCATGGCGAATGGAGGTAGTTCTCAAACCGAAATACGAAATACATAGGAATAGTATATGAATATGATGGCATACAGAATCAATGTATATATATATACATATAGTATATAGATGTATATTGTAAACAGGATCCATACATATGGTAAATATAATGGAATGATATAGAGTGATATACAATAAGCATACCATGATCTTCTTTGATTATATTGGATGCTGGAGTTTCAATGGATTTCCATTGCACTATGACCACCAGGATCGGAGCCGAGCCGGGAAGTGACCATGGAAACCATGCCCCCGAAGGAGACATGTTTGGCGCTAAGACATGAACATGCCCAGTGCCCTCCTCCCAAACAAACAAATACAAAGCAAAATCAAACATAAGACACACACATAAATAAATATATATATATACAGTAAAGAGTATATATAATATGAATACATACCATCATATTATTCGAATATATACATATGAAGAGACTATCTTTCCGAAACCATTGTGTTTGCCTTACACCTCCGATCTCCCCAACGATCTCACGGGCACCAAGTCATCAAGTCTTGGATCGCCCAGGCACGCGGCGAAAGCGGCTGACCAACTCACGGATCCGAGTGAAGGTTTCCATCTTGGCCTGAAGAAAAAAGCATGAGGGTCTTCCAAGAATATCATAGAACAACAACATAACCATTGATACTATGTACGTATATATATACATATATGCACGTGGTTATATGTATAAATCATTCACTTTCAATAGAATAACTATATATTTTTCCTAAAAAATGTGTGACATTCTCAGAGTGAATCAACTGGCTTGCCCTTCAAACACGGGAGGAAAAAAACATTTGAATCCCATGACCGTAGAGTAACATGCAATCATCTCATGCCGATACAGCTACAGTATACCCCCCATCTAACCATGGTGAATTATGGATATATATATATATATATCTACCATAAACCCCAGTGCGGTCAAGAAACCAGATTGAACACTGCAAAATAGCCTTCGGCATCATCGAAGAAGGTGTTCTGCAAAGGCAGACCCCGCGGAGTTTTGCTCACATGCTTTTGCACAAGGGTCACCATGTACACACAACAACGATTTCATGCTATATGTGATGGTGATTTAGTGGTCCATCATGTGTGCACATGATGATTTAACCATTCATTTGCCTCCAGGAACCAATTTTGCACTTATTCAGCAATCTGTATAATTTTCCAAAAGGACCCCATTTTTGTAGCTGATATTCCCATACTATGGCAAACCCAATACTCAACCGTGCCAATATTATCGCGAACTGATGGGAAAAAATCTTGAGCCGCCCACCTTGAAGCACTCGGGGAGGCGGTCCATGCCCCGCGCGCTCCAAAATTTTATTTTCACCTGGGGAGCGTTGGATTTGGGGTTGACCTCGAAGTCCCCAAGAACTGAATTGGTCATGATTGGTGATCCCTGACAATGCACATCAAGGTGGGATCAGCATCAGCATCATCATCGAAACAATGGAACTTGTGGAAGTGGCGGCGGTTTCCACATCGAAACACCACTTTGTGTATTGTTGTCTTCTGACTTCTGGGCAAATCTCTTGGGCAAATCCACAAAATTTTGGTCAATGGCCATAGCTGCAAGAAACAATCACATAGTATAGATATATATTATATATACATATATATATATGCACCCTGCGGTAATCAAACATGGCTAGCTGGGAACATCCACCAGTCAAATTCTAACATTTTCCCAGCTATAAACATCCACCATTCACATAGTTCGATGTTTTTTTTCAGCCAGGCACCTGTGATTACCATATAATGGTTGGTGACTTCAACCCACCTGGATAACACTAGTCCAAAGCATATTAGTCTTTGGGAATCATGATCACATGTTTAGAGTATTTGGTTAAGAATGAGCACATGAAACCACCAGCCTATCTAGTTAGAGTCAAGAACCATGCATGTGACATAATCTTACTATGTACTGTACCTTCCAACAAAATTGACACATGGGTTCTCCCCACCATTTACACATCATTTTCCAAACAGACACAGAACAAAAACATGGATGTCCATATCTGTTGTGAACAACCTAGCGGAGGAAGTTTCACCATGATTGATCCCTCTGGATCCAAATACTTCCGGTATGTGACCCCCGGAAGAAATCGTGCCCTAAATGCTTCCTCGTAAGCTACTTGGATCCATGGCGCATTAGTTATTTGGATTATTTTCCAACAAAATAGTTCTATATTGATTCATTTTCTTGTGCATTTTTCGATAGAAATTCGTTATCTATCTTGTGGATCAATGAAATATGTCCCAAGAAAATGCCCGCCTTTCGATCGACCTTATCAACCTCTTCCCTGCTGGCCACGTGCAGCACCTTGATGACTGGTGCTGGGTTGGTTGCTTGGAAAACAGTTTGGGGTCCATAGTGGCACCCAAAAAAGTTACAAAACTGTTGGCATTTACCACAATTTTCTAGTAGATGCTGTTTTGAATATGTTTTCTATATTTACATGTTCGGTGCGAACATATATCATATCGCTGCTAACCCAGTACTGTACATGGCACATTCCCAGCTGCATATGGATTATATACGTTTTTTTTAAATGTTAAGCCTGGACTAAACAATGATCATAGACTCTTGAATAGGGCAACAAGTTTAGTAATTGATCACTAAAGGGACCCCCTTTGAAGACTAACCTGAAGGGGGTTATTAATCCTGGGTCGACAATACTGAGGAATACTGTGCTATTTTTTGACTTCGGGCACCGCATTTCAATCATTAAATGATTTCAGGTCAAAAAAACACCAATGGCTCGCCTTTCGATCCATATATTGTGTAACAAGGGAACTAGGTAGACCAATTGAGGGAGAAAGACAGAGAGAGCGAGAGAGAGAGAGAGAGAGAAACAACAAAAACAACTAAAAACACACACACACATGTATATATATATATATGATGTGTTCAATATATTGACGCCCCGAAACGTTCAATATATTGACGCCCCGAAACTGGTTAGCTTATGACTCATGATAGGTTGAGAGTTGAGAGTTTACAAATCACACACACAAAAAGTGATCTGTATGGCATCCTTGTGGCTTTTACCCGTATCCATCCACCATGAGGCCAAGTGTCTCTAAAGTCAAGGCCGCAACTGCAGGATTGCTCCTGTGTGGCTGAACATGTGTGTTATCACGGTTATTTAAACACTTATATAAACAACTTTTGTGGGATTTTGATCTATATATATATATATATATATAGATATATGTACATATACATAAAATTACATATGTAATATCCGTTGCCAACTTCCAGAAGTAGCTCTTAACAACCAACTTTGGCAATGTTTTTTTTGTGGATGTTCTTGGCTTCAGGTCGTGTTCTTGGGGGACTAGTTACCCTCACCATTGGCCGCAAAGCAGCCCATGTTTGTTGATCATTCAGGTGCATAATCTAACAGCCAAGTGGTAACTTCAAAACCGATATTTTGGGAGCTTCTTGAAGCTTTAACCTTCATTATACGCCTTCAATCGCCTTCACATATTTCACATTGATTGGTTTTAATGTTTCAAGCCGTCAAATTTGCTGCTAGGAGCCTCGAATAGAACCCGACCTTCGACGCGTCGGACTGGAACAAAAAATCCGAGAACGATTTAGTGCCGCTAAAGTGTTGCGCGTCACGGAAAGCCGCTGCCTAAACATCTATGGTGACAAGGGGGCTTTTGTGTGCGTAAAGAGTTGGGTTCATGGTATGTTGCCTCGTACTCCTGATGCTCCATACTGACACAAACCAATGAAGTTGTTTGAAGTCAGCAAGTGACATGCAGCCTCCTATGGTCTGAATCCAACCTTTGTAGACCAAATGCAGGCTGCAGGTGGAGCTTGGGATGTGTATCATTCTGCCATCTTGGGCAGAAAAAGGCACAGGCAATCGCAGGTCCCATTTTTAATCCATCTAGTATCATATAGTCGTATTGTCATACCCTCCACCCCCACACAAATACATACATGCTGTATAGGTATCGGTATCATGCATGCTATGTATATGTGCAGTGTGTGTCACAATATATATATATGTATATACATACATGAAATCGACAATATTTGATATAAACTCCTGTTCTGGGAAAGTCTCATTCGAGACTTTCCTCATTTTGACTACCCCCGGTTGACTGTCCTCACTGAAGGTGTCACCCGCCAGGGCTCTCAGGAATTGGGTCTTGCCTGCGATGGGAACATTGGAATGTCTTTTTGGTGAGCAAACCTGGCCGTGGAAAAACCTTTTTGACGAACATAATTTCTACATTCAGATTGTCCACTGCCAGGTTGATGATTGTAACTTTGTGAAACACAGGAGTTGTTTGAGGTTCACTGTCACGGCAGGAGAGCAAAGAAACAGTGGAGAGCACCAACCTCTTTGGAGCAATAATGCCAAAGCCAAGTGTGGTGCATTCCAGTTGTTAATCCTGGAACATGCAATGTGAGCCTGGCAAAGACCTTCAAGGATAATCAGAGGCAACCCAATACGATTTCAAAGGAATAAAGGAAAGAAATTGCCTGCAACAGTGTAAAACGGTATTCAAATGAATGTTGATCCTTTGATCCATGGCTCCATGGCTTTCAAATTCCCTACTTGGATGTGCGGCCCAGTTAGCAAGTAACTAGTAACATCTAGTAACCACATTATGACCCAGTTATATATGATTAATTATACAATGTTGTACATAGGTACCCCAGCTATATGTTGATTGCAAGCAACTTACTGCAATGCAGCTGGCACCTGAGTTTGCTTCGCCCAGGATGATGCACTTCTGCAGTTTGAGTTCGTTGGACTCCTCGACAACGACCCGTTGTGATGTGACGAGAGCTGTGCAGAGCTGTGGGGATCGAAAGGGGGGCCCGATACAAGAAGATACATATCATCTGGCAAAGGGGGCGAAAGCATTGCAAATGTCCTTCTTTTAAACTTATCACCTCCACATGTTTAAGCTCAATCCAAAAACTAGTGGTTAGAGGTTGGACATCAGGCCAAACAATGTCCATTATGCTTCACCCTGGTTGAAAAATCCCCAGCTCACGGGTCGAAAAATCCCCAGCTCACGGGTCTGATAATCCTCAACGGGCATCACTAAAAGCCCACATATTCCATACCCCACAAAGGCTGATGAATTTACTATATATCCCATGTCCCATGTGTTAATAGCCTGCGCTTTATCACATTATCCTCATCCTTCCACATGTTTTACTGGTTACATCCCAATAAAATCACCACTTTCCATGTTTCCATGAAATCACAATTTCCAAAAGGTTTGAAACATCGCCCTAACTCTCCAGACACTTCTTGGTACCTTTGCCCTCAGGTAATCAAAAATGGCTAGCTGGAAGATCCTCCATATCTCCAAATATAACCAGTTCGTTGGAGAATTTCCCATGGCGCGGATGGCGCGGAACCCCCGAAACTCGGGTCCGTGCCCCGCCTGCTTGGGTGTATAGATGATCACCTCTCGTTGCGGCTTTCTCACCACAGACAACTCCAAAACGTCCAGCTGAAGCTCCTCTAACTTCACGCCCGGACCTAGGACCTGCGAACAAAACACGGATCTAAGTAGCTGGAAGTGGATATAGTTGGGTATAGCTGGATGTGCTTTAAGTATGTGCTCTAAATATTGCATTTACATACATACAATATATACATATATATATATGTATATATACATATATATATATACATGTATATATATATGTATATATATATGTATATATATATTTAATGATTGAACAATTGAACAGTCATGAACATGTCCAAAATAATCACTGAAATCACCTGCCTGGCTTTTTAATGAATCCCATTGGACACATGGTCCAAACTGTGGTGAACTCACCAACCAGACTTGGCTTGTCAGAAATGGTATAGGTAGAGGGTTATAGTACACCTGTAGCTGCTACTCTCGTGATCAGTTTTTTTTACCAAGATGGATTGACCATGGGATGGGCAGACTCTTAAAAGAAGGAATGTTCGTAATGATCCTCTAATTATTATAATCAATGATATCAATGGATTCATTGATTGTGACCTAAAAATGCTCTTCGAGCTGTTGGTGGTGGAACCGCCAATCCGCCAAAGTATGCATGTTTTTTTATGTAACATCAGAAGCACACACAAGCCGGGGTTCATGTTTACTATCAAACACACGATTTTCCAAGCTTTTTCAGGTCCAGTGCTGGATGCATCAGATGTGTCGAACGTGGCAATGAATTCAAAATAGTGAACGAGCTACGAATGAAATTGCAAGAAACCCAAGGTAGTGATCAATGAGCTGGTGAAAACTCATCCTGTCCATGCTTTTCCCGTGACTTGTGCAATTTTTATGCAGATTTTCCCTGGAACCAGTGGATGAACCGGGCATCTGTCGAGTCCGTGTGACAACTTCATTCGCAAAGAATGCAAATAACGCACAATATTGATAGGCCGATTCTGACTGGGGTTGTTAGTTTGTCCATATAGAGGTGAGAAAAGGTGAGAATGCAAAACTGGAAACACGAAGAACTCTTTTACGATGACTTTATGTTTGCAAAGAAATGGGTGAACCGGCGAACCGGTATATCAGCATCTGTTCCAGGACATTTCTGGCAATAGAAACTCATAGGTCATGCATTTTAGCAAACATACCCATGCAGTTGTGGCCATCTACCGCTTATAAGTCCAGTTGTACCCCCAGGTATGGATCTATAACCCCATTCAGAGGGCTGATAATCCATCCCACTTACCCTCCAGATTTATAGATATTTTCCCAGCTACAAACCTCCATTTAGCTCGGGGATTTCTCGGCCAGCCACGTTTGATGACACCGGAGGGTAACTCTAATTTTTGGTTATAAGTTATACATGCTATGATTTCCATGTTAATCCCTACAAATCCACTAATAAATCCCATTCTTCATAATATAATAATATATATATATATCATCATTGTTATCAGTTATCATTATGAACCATCATTATTAATTGCATTAAGAAACATAAATCAACACACATCACCACAAATCACCATATAAATCACCATAAGATCAATCTAATTAATCAATCTAAATCACAACATCACCATAACATCAACATAAAATCAACATAAAATCAGCATAAATCATATTGCCCCCCGCGAGCAACATGCTCGTTGCCGTTGAAACGCCTGGCTCCCATGGAGCAGCGCCAATTTGTTGGGGCAGCTCGACTCCTTGGCCTTGGAAAAGGATGTTTTACAGATGAGGATGTATCGATATCGATCTAGATGTTTGAAATATAATGTTTGAAATATGATATTTGATATATTTGATATTTGATAATTATATGATATATGATATGATGTAGATGATTGTGTTTAATTGTGGGCGTAGGTAGATTCGATAGATAGATTTATGTGTATGTAAATTGATTGATGGATTGGCTGATCGATAAAAAGTCTGATACGTCTGCCCAACCTAAGCTCTCACTGGGTCCTGGGTGTTTCGTCCGAGCGACCGAGATGTACTTCTGCAGTTCCCAAATGGTCGTCTTCTGCGGCAACGGATCGTTGAAAATGGCCTCTCAAACGCCACAGGCTCGTGGCTGAAAATCACCTCTGGCCAACTCTGGGGTAAAAATTGTATAATGATTTTCGAGATCATACCATATATAACTATACATAATAACTATATAATTCACCAAATTTAAGCATAAATCATCAATATGTAGAGAGAGAGAGAGAGAGACAGAACAAGAGAGAGAGAGAGAGACAGAGAGAGAGACAGAGAGCTCTATATATATATAATTATATATACAGTATATGAATATCTAGAGAAGGTCCAACATGTGGGACTCTTCGGATTCAGATCATTCCAACGTGGCTGACTGGGGTCTAAAAGCAACAGGCATTCTGCTGCCATTGGAACGGGATCTTAGGACCAACTGCAGCAAACAACTGCACGATTCATGGAGGTTTCCTAAACAGGGCATCGATTTTTATAGGATTTTCCTGGATTTTCCATCGATTTTCCATCATAAACCATCCATTTTGGAGTATCCCCCATTTATGGAAACAATATGAAACAATATCAACTAGCAACAGCAACCGGGGAAATTTGCGCTGGCACCTCGCCAGAGGCTTGCAGGACGAGAACGTCAACCTTCTTGGAGTTCTGGCAGCCCCCCTGTAGCCATTGGGGATACTGATGGATACTTAGACCCTCCAAGTCCCCATAAAAATTTGGCTAAAAGTCTCAAAATAACATAAGAATCGGTATGTCACCCCATTGTTGTAGGTACTTGACAGGGCCTAGGGATATACATGATATATATATATATATATGTACGTTTAAAGTTGAAATTATAATTGATTGCAAATGATAAGTCATGAGCATGGCCGCAGCATGGCCACACAGCTGTATCCTGCAAATCCCAAGTTCACCCGGAGGCCTGTACCATTTCCGTGGCTGGCACAGCGTGACCGGGCAGAAATGATGCTCTTTTATGGCCAAAATCAGCAAGAAGTGAAGCCTTATATCTTATATCCATTCAATGATATACTGACATCCTGTGAGATTTCCTTATGATGTTTGTTTTTCTTCTGAAAGCGATTGGGTCCCAATAGAGCCGCATAACATGTAGTGCAAGTATGTGGGTCAAGCTCAATTCTAGCCATCATGGCACGAGCATGCACGAGCTGCTGAGCTGTAACATTCATTTATGACGATGCTTGTTAAACTAGACAGAAGTGTGCCAACATGAACAGCTTTGCATGAGCCAAACATGTTCAAACGGGGCTGGTGACCTGCAAGACACGACGGGCACTTGTGGGCAAAGGTTGGATTCTCCGACTTTGGACAAATCGATAGGTCAAAGACACACTATCGAAATTTAAGTTTGTTCAAGTTCGTGACTAAGCAATCCTTTGCTCAAAGTCAATCCAGCATGATTTGTGGTATTCTCTATTGATTTTCCACTTGTAGGGCAGCAGGTTTATTGTCTAAGCATCCAATGTCCACACATATCCCATTGGCAAAAATTGGAGTCCAAGGTAGACGGAACGCTGACCTCACATTGGCATCAATGGCCGTTCCAAAGAGGACCTCGTCCAAACCTTAGGACGTCGGGACGTGGTGATTCCGATGGACTCTGAGGCAACTGAGCAACTTCAGCACCACATTGCTAAGTTTCAACAGGAAAAATATCGCCTTTGGATGGTCCCCCCCTTGGAGAAATACCCATTTACTGCTGATGATGATGATGATGATGACGACTCCAGGCCGTCTATGTTTTCAGCAGACTTGCTGGTTGCCGATGAGGCACCCTCCTTAGCACGAAGTTCGTGGAAGAGTGACATCACCCATGACCATTGCAGTCCTGCATGACCACTTGGGGTTGAAGGTCTTGACACAATGTGCACAAAGTTGGAAGGTTCAAAGCGGAGAATCAAAACAACACAACAACCATCATATGATAGTATGTAAGTAAGTATATATTTAGTACCAGTATGATAATGTATGACACTAGTTATATGTTTGAACATATGTATACCGGTAATGTAAGCATATACCAACATATGCAGTCAATAAATATATTGATTACTATCATACTCTGATATCATATTGCCATTACTATCACTTTATAATGGATAACATATATCCATAAATATACTGATGATAATTTGATGATTTCCCAGGCCTTCTCCGCAAACATTGAGGAGTGATGCTTCGGTCACCCAAGTTCCTGACCCTGGAGCGCCGAACGGCCGAACGCCAAAAAATATGGGTACTATACCAGTCAAATCATGGTTGAAACATGGTGACTAATGATGGTTAATAGCTAATAATGATGGCTAATAATGAGGGGGTATATTATATGAAAAAATGCATTTTTTTGGGGGGAATTAATAGGGATTCATCATGTCACAGGGAAATCATGGGATGTATAACTTATAACTAAAGATTAAGAGTTACCCTCCGGCAATCAAACTTGGCAATGTGAAATCAACGAACTAAATGAAGCTTTGCTGGGTCAATCATCGAACTATAGCTGATAGCTGGCTGATTTTCTAGCACGTCATGTTTGATGAGACCGGAGGTGACCCACACGCACGCCATAACTACCTCGGCGGGTCATGGCTGAATTTAGATTCCAACAAGAAAAAACAGCTTTTCGCATTACCCTTTTACATAAATAAATAAATATATATATATATACACACTGCAAATGTGTACACACTTAAATAGACAAATAAATCAATAAATACATACTTATATATATATATATACAGTACATATGCATATATATATATATGTATACAGTATATCATTCAACATTCAGTGTACTGAGAAACCCACATCCCACTGGATAAAGCATGAATCGCGCGTCAACTTTATCTCACCGTGTGAATAGATTTCCTGACTTGACTGAACTTTGACATATCTTAATCAGGTGTTGTTCATTGAATCCACCCAACACTGAATATCTTATATATATTATATATATGCCCCACATCCATTTTTCCATCATATACCCATCATTAAATATACTAAGCCCCAAAAAGATAGAACTAAAGACCAGTTTAGTAGGATTTTTTACTTGTCTATCTTTTTTGGGGGGTTCTATATCATATTTCAACATGTCTATCCCCATGAAATACAAATACTCTCAGGATGATTCCACTTGCTCCCTATGGGTGGACCAACGCCTGAAGTCCACCGCCTGGAAAAGCGCCTCTTGGAGGGGCGTGACAAACACGGTCCCGGACCTAGGACCAGCCTGGGGGTAGATTTTTATTAATAAATAAACATACAAATGTAATATATATAATTTATATGTGTATTCATGTATTTATTCATTTATTTATTATTATATATTTGTCTATTTTATTTATCTTGTTTATTCTATTCATGTTACTTATGTTATCTATTGTTGGATTGTTCTACTTGTGGATGAAAAACATTGTTTTTAACAGAGGTTTGTGTTTGTTGAAAAACACGATTCTAGTTGCTTGGAGAAAAAATACCCCTTACTTGTTCCCTAGGATGCTTTACGAAGCATTTTATAGAGAAAATTGGTTATAAAATGGTCCTCCGTCAGCCAACATCCAGACAGCAAGTGGGAACCCTCTATGAAATGACCTCTCCGTCATCTCTATGAAATGCTTCTCCGCAGACGACGCGTGTGCAAAAACACGCAGCGCGACATCGGGCAACAACCCAGTCTTTCCGCCTTTCCACCAACGCGCGCGCGCGTTACTGTAAACGCGCGCGCGCGCGCGCGTTGGCGGAACCCCGGCTCGACAAACGCCAGCGAGCCGAGGTTTCAGCCGGAAGTGTGGAGACACAACGAGGAGCAGGAAAGGGGAGACACAACGGGAGAAAATCAGTGGGGAAAATGATGCAAAATGAAAAATGTCACTTTTATGGTTTGTAAACAAGAAAAAGTTGCTTTTGTACCATAGTGAAATGTTAAAATTTGTGCAGATCTATCTATCTATCTATTAAGTATGCATTTATATGAATGTTTTCCCAAAAAAAACTACCAACAAAGCCATTTGTGGTACTTATTTTTTGACGGTAACATTTTGCAAAGAATCCCTCCTATAAAATGCATCATCCATCTGCAACATCTTGCACCTCTCTATCATCTTTCATGCTGGGAAGGAAGCTCTCTATAAAATGATAAAATAGGGAGCTCTGGAGGGGCATTTTATAGACGGCCAAGCCAGTCCTCTATAAAATGGGTCCCGGAACAGCATTTTATAGAGTCAAAGCATCGGCATTTTATAGAGGATCAACTTAGGGGTATGAGAAAAACAACAAATGAGTATTGTTTCTTAGCCTTCCTAAAACACATAATAATGGACGTCTTGAAATGGGGGATACGCCAAGCCGGCCACTATCACCATACATGTTGTGACATCTTTGTTACACTAATTTCATTCTTCAGCTTTTTGTGGTAAATCACCATGGTTGTCGGCGAAACCCACAGTCTTGTCGCAGCAAGAAAAAACATGCTGTCCTTTTCACTGGCAAAACACCATATTTGTTCACGTCCGCAGTTCTGGTGCTCTCTCTGTGACTCTCGCTCTCGCTCTCACTCTCTCGCTCTCTCTCTCTCTATTTGTCCCAATCGCCTTCAAACAAGGATTGCATTTTTGTTGCTAAAAAGCATTGTGTTGTTGATTCAATCCCCATATTAGCTGAATGAATTCAAATGTGTGCCTGACAAATCGTCTACTGTTGGGTGGTTTTTGTTGGCATTTGTTGGTGAAATTCATGTTTTTCTTGCCAGACATCAGTGCATCCTTCGTGTTTCTGGCAAATAACCACCACTGTTGGCAAACACCATATCTTTCTTGCTAGACATCAGTTTATCCTTCAATGTTTTTGGATGTTTCTGGATGTTTCTGGTAAATCACCATATTTCCACATTTGTTCTGGCTAAACATCAAGTTGTTTGCTGGGTTGACCCCTCGAAATCGCCTCATTTGGCACACGGTCTCCAAAGCTTTGCGCCAGCCAGTCTCCTGGAGAGACCCAAGAGATGGGTGTCAAAGTCCCAAAAAGTAAGATGAAAGAGGCAACAAATGGTATCACATTTAAATATCAAGATGTGTATACATACGTAAATGTTTAAACGCATTTCAATACATGCATGTGGATATGCACATATATGATAGCACCCCTATCGTAATTTTTATAATTTAATTACACACCCTGTAACACATATAGCCTGTGATGCCAACGAATTTGGGAATGATTGCAGGGAAACACATGGGGGTCGAGTGATCAGCTGAGGGACACCAAAGCCATTCAAGCGTTGTCCGCCTAACTTGGCCACTCTTTTTGTTGTGTTCTTAGGGTAGGTATTGGCTGGAAAAAGGGCTATATATGTTGGGTGCAATTTCCCCGCGGAAAGGATGCTGTCAAACACTGTAAAAGAACATGGCCTCAACCTCCCTATTTTAAGATGTTTCACTAGCTTGGCTTCAATTTTTTTAAAATCCATTTCCTGGTAGCTAAATATCACAGCAAGTTATTTCATACAAAATTCTATCTGTTTTTATGCCACTATCCACACCTCCATCCCTCACAACAAGGCCACTCAGCGTCGTCCTTCTCAAATGCGTTGACTGTGGCACCGAAGGAAAAGGCATTGGGTGCCTTGTCATGCAGAAAAAACCCTGCGGAATCCAATGGGGAAGAAACATGGACAAAAAAACACGTGATGGTTTCCAGTATTTCGTAGAGGATCAAACTCACACGTAGAGGATCAAAGCGTAGTTTGTCGTTTATTTCTTGATAAATCATGTTCCAGGGAAAGGAATACTCCACACGACAATCATGTCACTTTCCGCTGATGCTCTCTGATGAGAAATCGTGGTTCCTTCCCAAATCACCCCCGAGACACTCATGTGCAAAAGAAAAAACAAACTCGCACGCAACACGAGGTACTGAGGTAAGGATCGTCCCCATAGTTACTTGCATGTATCATCTGCATATATGTCATTATGTATGTTTTATGCATAAAACAAAAAACACATTCACAACCTAGATCCTTAGGCACATGGTTCACTCCCCCATGCTTGCATTGGAATCTCAACCTGTTTCAGGTACATCTGGGACATCTTGAGACATCCGGAAGGTCTCCATGGAGCACCTGCATCTCCTGGCAGAACTTCATGGCCAAGGTCCATTGTGCAGATTTTGCCTCAGAGATGCTTTTGTGGCATTGGGAAGAAATCGATGCCACGCTATGCCACACTCAGGGCCAGGAATTTCAATTTTTCTCCAAGAGATACAGTAATCATGATAAATCCAGTTTTTGGGCTGATGAAACCTTGGCTGTTGGCAAGGCGATTCACAGCTGATGTCCTCCAAAAACTCTGTTGGTTTCCTGCATTCCAGAGTATAGATCGATATAGATTGCACTGTCCGACTGCAGAAACCTGCGCCATGTCTACTTTTGTAGCAATCCTTGAAGCCACCAAACACCGGAGATTTCCAAGTTAAATTGAGATTTTGCGTGGGAGTCGTGAGACTGCACCAGCTCATCCGGCAATATACCCTGCCGAACCATAGCTGGTGCCATAGTGCAAGTGTAGCACACACACACAAGAAAAACATGTTGCCACAACTGTTCAAATCTTACATGTTCTTTCATTTTCTTTGAAGCTAGGGCAAAACCGAGCAAGTTCTATCAAACAACACTCATGGAAATGGATTGGTTTAGAGAAACATCTGCAGAAAACCATGATTATTCAATTTTCATTAATGCATTTGTTCCATATTTCCCCATCATCCAATTCAAAGCTCCAAGATTTGACGACTGCGCCAAGCAACGCAAGAGTTGATGGCCTCGGGCGCCACGACAAGAAAACACAAGGGTGCTCTACCACCTCCTGATGGACGCAAATGCAAACTTTTTGCATATGCCTGTACATTATAAATGTGTATATATAAATATATAGAGGTAAGCTATGGTAAACTCACAAATCAAACAACTCTATACTTACAAATGAGTCTACAACACAAACTCACGCATGTGGTCCATCATATATATATGTATATATATATATAAACAAAATACATATTATATATACACGTATATATATATTTATACGTATATATATATACGCATTGTTATATGCATATATATATTTATACGTATATATATATATATTTATACGCATTGTTATATGCATATATATATATATATATATTTGTATAATTATATAAATATTATAGCAGTTGATTTTCCCCAGTCACCCTGTATACGCAGTGCCGTTTGCCAAAATAGACGTCCCACTTGCAATCGGAAAGATGTTGTTCATGCCCCCAAGTGACACAGCAATTTCATCCAGCAAATTTGTCTGGGCTGGATTTATTTCATGCATGAATTTGGAAGCTACACATGGGAAGTTTAAAGGAATGTCGACCCATTGGCTTGGTTAAAAACATTAAATATAGATAAATATAGATCTAAACATAGTTTATTTTCTTGCAAAATCTACCTTGCAGGAAACAAACATACTTTACTTCGAGTGATCCCCACCATCGCATTTCAAGGCATCTATTCTGACATATATTCTGTCAATCATCATACTAGTCCACCATCTCACAAAACAATCAGTGCATGATATGCTATGGTTTGAAAACAAACCCAACAGGGCACTACCTTGATAGAAACGCCACATCAAAACATCACATCACCAAGTGGGGACAAAGACACATTATAGTCGCACAGTGTATTGTTACAAACACATACACGACAAAAAAAAACAAAACACACACACACACACTCCGATGAACTGCGTCTATCTCTGGAAAATTCACCTATTTCATTGGATCAAAAATCCCACAAGTTCTCCAAAAACGCACGGTCCCGGACAGCGCTGATGCTCACGGTATCCAAGCTGCAGGCTCGGTAGAGTAGGGTGCGGCTTGGAGAACGCAACTTGCAATTTACACCGATTGTGATAGATTTATAAGTTATTGGCGCCATGATCTATATGTATATATAGCTATTGTAGCATCGATGTTACTATGAGAATTGTTGGTGTGATAGTTTATAATACCAATGCAACATAGAATGTGATATGCTAGTTAAGTTGCAATACCTTACGAGTTGGCCAAGTTGATGCAAGCCCTGGCAAGTTGCAAAACTACTTCTGGGCCATTCCCCACCACCAACTTAAGGAATCATTCAATAGGGGGGTTCCATGATGTTTCCCAGCATCCCATGTTCCACGTGAAAAAGCGATGTGTGGAATGTTTCGGCTTTCCCTTGTCTCATCCTGTCCAAACTCTACAAACAACCACTTCATACTTGGTGGTTAGGTGAGTGCTTTTGACTTTGAACTTGACATGTGGTGCAATCATGTGCAATCTGCCAAACTGACACTTGGCGATGTATCGCCTCACCTGGCATATCTCGCCATATTTGCAGCGTCTTGTTGACCTAAAGTGGCGACATCTTGTTCAAGTTTTAAACCCCACTTGGAGCAAGTCTACGTCTCTTTGTGTGTAACAGTGTATGTGTGTGCATACATCGCCATCCTCCAACCCCTGACAAACCACCCGAACTCAACGCAACACCACACCTGCTTCTCCATTCTTGGATCAGCCTGGCTGAAGCCAGGGTGAATTCCATCCAACGATGCCCCAGAATTGGATGATAGAATTACCTTCTTCGAGTGACCCCCAGCCTTACACACTATGCCCACTATGCTGCCCTAGTTTCTGACATACCATCTGCAAGTATTTATGCCATATATATATATATATAATTATTTGGAAATTCTATCTGACATTCTTTCTGGCATTTTACCTGGCATCTATTCTGACCTTCTTTCTGGCGTTCTATCTAGAATCTATTCTGACATTCTTTCTGCCATCTATTCATTCTTTCTGGCATACTCTGGCATTCATTCTGACATCTATTTCGACATTCCCTCTGACATGGCCACTGAGATCTGGCTCTCGCCCACTGAGCTCTGGCGCTCACAGTTGAGGTCCGGCAGTGCTCCTGAGATCTGGAGTTCACTGTTGGGGGAAGGAGGGAGGAAGGAAGGAAGGAAGGAGGGAAGTAACTCTGATAAAATCTAGAGACCCTACCTGGCAGGTCGGGAAAAAAAGAACTTATTTAATTACTGGCAATCATGGTTTCCTGTAGGTTTCCCCGTAGACCGTAGACCAATCCTGTGACGATTGGCAAAGATGTGTTCAGCATTTTCCCGCCAGAGCATCGATAACAGCCGGACTACAAACATGCACCGTACCCAATGAAACCTTCAGTGTACCAACTGTGGGGGCGGGTTGGGAGACACTGTCAGTGTGGTTGAAGGGTGCTAATGCGCTCAATCGTTAAAACAAAGGGTTAAGCCCCACAATCAGTGCTGTACGCAACTGAATTCAACTAATGTAATGCACCATTTATTTGAATGAAGTTGTACATGGTTAGCAACTGGCTTAACGACCTATGCCCCATGATCTACGTTTAATTATACAAGAATATGATCTATACATTACATCACGTTGTCTAAACACTCCACTTCCAAGTGTGCAGCCATGGTGCAAAAGGATCCTCAGGGCGTGGCTCCAACTCTGATGACCTCGACTTGGTCGTTTACTGGTCGTGGTCGCTGAAATACTGGCTGATTGTCGTAGGGACATTGATGGGATTTCAACAATGTCTGGCTGCCCCGGGCCCCGGTAGGCCCTACCCGACCTGCAACTTAGATATGGACAACTACATATTGTACCTGTGAAACAAATGTCCATGCTCATCCATTTTCCATCATTTTCCGTTGCTACCTTAGATTACCAGAGCATGCCCCAAAAATGGTGATATAGTTGGGATAATATGGAGATATTTCATGAGCAATACCATTCCAATCATAGATACATTTGGGTGTGCCTGAACATTGTTAGCAATTGGCGTATATACCCCAAAAGTGTCATTGAAGAAGGGGGAAAATGATCAGCCTAAAATTATTTGGGATTTGTTATTTTCAGTCGAAGCCATATAGGCCACGGTCAATATTTAGTATATAGCTCCAAGTCATCAATTATTGAAGAGTGTATTATCGTTTTTCTGGTTTTGGGAATATAGCAAATGTTATCGTTTTTTGAAGAGTGTATCATCGTTTTCCAAGCCCCAGCTCAATTTCCAAAAAATAAAGATGTCTCGAATACTACTTTCCATTGCGGTAAATTTGGGCTGTAGCTCATATGACTTCTATATGGGCCCCTAAAGTGACCTAGTGCTCCAAATACTTGCAAGGTCCAGGATTGAACCAAACATCACCGGGAGATAGTTGGTATTTCAGGCGGGATACAAAGCCCAACGGTTTTTTTGGCTCTGACTTCCGGGATCGGTACAGCCAGGCTCCCGAAGATCCATGGAATCCATGGCCATATTTTGCTTTGTGTTGTGGTAAAAGCTGTAGGGTATTTTGCAAATACCCTTTTTTCTGAACTTCTGATGCAAATCCGTTTTACCAATTTTGCATCCAGAGCCATCCTGGTGCCAACTATCTGCGTCCAGGGAGCACCCTGAGAGCCCCAGCAACCATTCAGTACCGCGGTCCCCGTGAACTCATCGCCTAGCCGATTCAACCCCACAAAGGTGGTACCTTGTTTTAGGCTATGGTTGATGTCCTAACTCCTAATCTTCGGACACTGTCTTCTTTAAGTGGTTTTGTCTGAAAATAGGCTACCCCTAAGTTTGATGGATTTGCCATGATTTTTTCAAGACACTGGCACCCAAGAAACCGTGTTCCATTTCTTGGGCTCAAAAATTACGACCAAATAATATGCTGATTCTCAGGGTCAAACTGATCGGAACTGGGAGAACGGTATCCCGGTATCTTCCATTTATCCTCCAACTAAAACATGAGTTCCATGCTCAACCGCTTGAGCGCCAGCTCTAGGATTTAAGTCTCTAGTTCCTATTCATTTGAAGTAATGTGGGTAAAACAAAAATAAACAATCCCCCAAATCACAATTTTTATGTTGTATAAACATGTATAAACCATTCCCAATCATGGGTGGTTTATGGCATTGTTTTACCATGTTTTACCATGTTTTACCCACGTTCCCCAAGGGATACTAAGATTTCCGTTCATGCGAAAGAGTTCGACCAGGCCACAGGCAGTTGGAAACTTCTGGAGCCAACGGATCTGCTGAACTCCAGTCGCCTGGGTCGAGGATTCGAGGATCATCCAAAACGATTTCAAGGATGGAAACCATGGGAAAACATGGGAAAGTAAGCAGTTGAAGAAATGAAAGCACCCAGGTCTCACCTATATCTATCATCTTTGAAGGTTTTTACAGTGTGTTTATAGGATTTTATAGGTGTAATTTTGCGAAGGCTTTGTCGCGCATATTTAAGTCTATTTGGCCTATTGATTAGCGGAGTACATGATATGTGGGTATGTTTCAACACTTTGCAAGCTGATTACCGGATCCATACCAACAATAAGGATGGGGCATGTCCGTATGCTCCCCAATCACGGACTGGATACCACCAAGAGCATGCAGCACGGAAATTTGTTGGCTGTTTGTAAATGCACAACAAATACTCGGGTCGCGAATTCTCATATTGGATATGAGTCGCTGCCTGGTTTTAACCCGATTGAACGTCTGTTGACCGACCGATAGGTTGCAATGGCTACTGCACATCAAGGATCAAAAACAAGCAATGTTCATCCCATTTCGTCCTATTTCATCCCATCTCAACTCCATCTTCAAAGCTCAAGTGCCATTTCTTCACCACCTTTTCGCCCAAAAAGTCCTGAGGCACCCGACCCAAGCACCTGGGCAGGGGGGTGCACCTTGCAGGTTGGTAACCGACAGCTTACATATTTCAATGCCTTGGTTTTTATGAGCAGAAAATGTTGAAAAACAAATATTTAGATTATACATATATATATATATACACATGTGCGTGTTTTTGCCTCCACATATATAGATATATTGTGGGTTCTTGTAAAGTATGCCTGCAAGCAATTCCTGGATTGAAGGAAAAAGTATGAAAACAACTAATTGAACAAAATAGCGGAAACTGATGTGTCGACCATCCAAATATCAAGAGTTCCTATCACATGTCTACAAGCAACACAGAAAGCAGATCAGTATCAAAGTAGCACATTGGGGATACCCTCTGGTAATTTAACATAGCTATGGAAAATCACCATTTATAGTGAGTTTTCCCATTAAAAATGGTGATTTCCAATAGCTATGTTAGTTTACCAGAGGGTATATATATATATGGATATATCATATCACACATTTAGGACAATTCCTATCATCAAAGCCACACAGTTCCTATGAGCAAAAAAAAAGGTTCCCATCGTCACCATCCAGGGAGGCGATGGCACAATATCAACCATGGGCCATGTTCAAAAGTAATTTTAAATTACCAGAAGCTATACCAACCCCATGTAACAATATGGCTGATATAGTTAATGGGGATTTTAACGGGGACAATATTGGTTTATAAACCATTTATTGAACATGCAAATATATTGCTGATATACTTGAGTACAATATGTACAGTGCAAAATGACGTTCTGCTTCGCATGTCATGGGACTTCGCAGCCACGCTGGGCTGGTCAAATCTAAGCCTTACACCTTGCAGCCGAAGACATGCGCTGGCACCGTAGGAGTCCGGCACGACACGTGCCTGCGGAGATGCTCATCCTTAAATAACCTTGATGTCATCTGAAAAAATGAATGTGTACATTTCCCACACCAGATTTAAGGTCATTTACAAATTTGCACATAAATTTCCCCTACTAATCATCATCTATGGTGAGGTCAAATGGGGTTGCTAATAATTTGTGCAAATGTCTTATACTGGTAAATGGTGAAGCGGACTGCAGCAAGATGGACTACTTGGAAGTCCAAAGCTGCTAACCTGCGGTGATCAAACATGGCTAGCTGGGAAATCCTGGAAGTAAATGCAGGTTTGAATGGGAAAATCATGATATATATGTATGTATGTAAATAAATGGGGGATGCATTTTTATTCTAGCACCCCTCGAAACAACTGCCGATGTCTTTTCCAGGATGCAGCCGTTGCTGCTACTTCGATGATGGTTTTTCCCAGCTCTTGGGAGTCTTTTTGGGGCTGACTTGCTGTGAGTGTGCAGCACTGCCACCAATCATCAGGCAAACATAACAGTCTGAAATATTCTGAATGTAAAAACATGTAAAAAAACGCATCTTTACCTGCAACTTTACATCTGAACCTGGAATCAGGCAACCATAGGATGGCGAGACCTCCTCTGATCCGAGGGGCTCATCCCGGCACCTGATGGTTATGACTACTACTGATGGTTATGTCAAAACCTGCGGAAAGGCTGTTTGTGGGAAAAAAGATCCCATGCTGCAAACTTAGCGCTTCATTTCTTGCAGATGTGAAAGTCCATCGTTTCTGATCACCAAATTAGGAAACGTTCCAATCGTGGGCACTCTGTGGTGCTTGGAGAGGAATGTCCAGAGCGGCCCTTTCTGGCAATTTTTCTTTGCGGGAAGTTCCTCCACACATTGAAAACCTGACCCCCCGCTGCTGGCAGTACTAGCCAGGGATAGCTGGAGAGCTACCTGCTCGCAGTGGTTCCGGTCATTGCTCAAGCAAACACACATACATATGATAATTGCATGCGCAGTATGCAGTATATACACAGTAATAACACCTCGTTTCGCCCGAGGCACTTTCAAAATATTGTAAATTATGGCTCATCTTCTGGCATTCCTGAAGCTCATGAGGTAGCGGACCTGTGCGACATTGCACATGTCATCCTGAATCCTATTATCATACTAAAGCCATAAAACCTCCAAATCGAAAACCCTAAACCCGAAACTCCAAAAACATCAAAGAAGGCATGGGAAACACAAGGAATACCCTCAAACGCAAAACACCTAAACCCTAAGACCCTAATTCTTAAACCCTAAAACCTTAAACCTAAAAGTGATGTTGGGCGAAACGAGGTATTTGCGCGTATACATACATATGTAAGACCAGTACAAGTATGAAAAACAATGTCAAACAGGGGAATATTGCTACAATTCCAAAAACTAAACCCATTGCGCACTAATTTCTCGTACTAAGGTACAAGTAGGCATCTGAGGCGTCTGTTAGGGCGCAAGGTCCTGGGGGTGGTAGTATTCAACACCTGGACACACTCAACTTCCACCCAAGCGTCCCGGAAGGAATCCGTGGCCATGAGTGGACTGTGGCTTTGTCACGGGGTGAGGACGTAAATTGCTTTTGGTGGTTTGAACACTAAAAAACAGTAGCATTCAATGTGGTAAACCCAAAGGCCATCAATATTTTACCAGAAACTGGCCTTAGAATTTGATTATTACAGTAACCACCCCAATAGGAGGTCCAGTGCACATTTCATTTACCACGTCGAAAGGCAACTATCAAAGTCATTCGAGATATGGAACAACAGGATTCCGCTAACAGCCTTTTTTGAGTGGAATTGCGACCACCAACGCTAGAAGAAGGTGAGCACTGAATGCGTAGGGAAATGGTCCACCCAACCAGTATCAAAGAACTGCACAATGGTAAGCTATGGTAACTCAAAATATTTTGGAAGCAACCGTAATTTGACGCCATTTTGAAAGTCCCTAGCTTCTTGGGGGGTCGACAGTTTGAAACGATCACTAATCACTAATCATATTCCAGCATGTTTTTGTTCCACTTCCTTGCTAGCTTCGGGTGGTTTGACCCTCTCATGCCCAATCGCAAGTACCCTTCATTTGAATAAATATTATATGTATAGACAAACACACACATATATATATATTTAGATGTTAGTGTGTATGTATTTCCATGTATTTCCCAATTTTCCCAACTTATAGCAAACAGCAAAATCATAAGCACTCTATTAACCCATCTCTGTTGCGTTTGGCTAGCATTGACGTGTTTTCAATGGTGGAGCGCGACTCGACTTTGCCCGTGAACCAGAATTCGGACGCGATGCAGGATGTGTGCGACTGGTGCACCTTCAAACTGAGCAATAGTCCAGAGACGATCTGTGGTGCAGCTGATATCGATACCCTACAAGCTTGGCTGGGCAACGCCAAAAAAATGGACAAAATATATCCTATATGTTAAAATATAAAAGATCTTATTGGTATACATCGGCATTGATTGCAAAAATCAGTCGTTTACTGTAACTATTCCACCAAGTTTCAAAGTGGCACTTTCTAGCACCAACTGGGGTTTCCCAAAATATGGATACCCCCAAATCATCTATAGATGGATTTTCCATGAAATAAACCATCCAGCTATTGGGGTACCTCCATTTATGGAACCCCCCTTGCCGTGTTTGTCCTTTTTTGGCAATAAATGTTCCTAAGTGTGCCTTCTGATATCTTCTGATGGGATCTACTAACGGTGCTCACGTTTAAATTACAGATCGCCATATTTCTCCCATCATCTCTGGCTGCTCCCTGCGTGGCGATTCGCCGTTCGGCGTCCGTGCTACGGAGAACATTACTCAATGGAATGGCGGAAGGGAAAATCTACAGGAAATGCCCATATTTCATTGGAAAAAACCTGGTTTTCGGTAGCTTTTCCCTCAGACAAATCCAATGAAATACATTGAAAAGCCGCTGACTCGCTGACCCTTTTTCCATCGGAGCAGAATCCCAGTTCTACACCCAAGAAACATGGAGATTTGACCGACCCAAAAAAGGCCTTAACCGACAAAAAGGTATACAAACATAAGGTTTCAAGCACGGAATATTGATCATATTTCCTTTTAAGTAAACTTGGTAATGGAACATCTTCAAGTTTTATCAGAAAAATAACACATAGGTGTGCGTATATGAATAAATAAATAAATATATGTATATCTCTGTGTGTGTGCATCATATATATTCATATATGCATGATATATCAGTGGAAGATTTTCCAGCACACTGTGACCTGGAATCTGGAAGCGTCCCCAGGGCGATAGAAGCAAAGGTTTTTGGGCTCAACAGTGCCCAATAAGTTTGATCCATAGCTATGGAAGCCATGGCCCATAGAAATAGGTGGTCAACATGATGATTGACCAAATTTTAAAAATATGGTTTTCCGGTTCGCTATGTTCAATAGCTAGAGAATATACACTGTATACACTGTTATGGCAGTTGATCCCAGCTGTTGTAAACAAATCACCAAACGCGGCCAGCGGCGGTGTTTAGGCCGCAAAGACCTGGCTGATGCCTGAATCCTCAAGAGAATTGGCCGGTGGCTAAGACACAACTACAACATGGCTCATGGTGTTCTTTCTGGTACGTTTATAGTTCTTTTTTAAGTAGTGTATTTCTTAATAGTTTTATAATTATTTGTTTAATAGTGTTTTTCAATAGTTTTATATTTTTTGTTTTTTTTCAAATAGTGTTTTTTTTTAAAGTTTTTTTTTGTGAGCAAAGACAGTTCAATGTTTTGTGTGGAAAGTTCGCAAACATAGCTAAACAAATACATTACATTATAGTTACTTAAATATTGTGTTATTTTTTATGTTGGCACATGTTTTGTCCTGACTAAGGCTACACTAATCCTGCATTGGCTGGAGACGTATTTTTTGGCTGTGTTTTGGAAGGGGTTTTAAAATGGTGTGGTGAGCTCCATCCCACCAGCTGGATGACGAGCTCCATAGGCTGGGATTCAAGGCACACTCTCAGAATCTTTCAGAGCCTAAGTCACTGATTTGACAGAGGAGCATTCGCTTCGCGTGTCCTCCTCAGCGGGATCGCCATTGCCTTAGGCCATGGCCAGGTGCTCCACAGACGAGGTGAATTTGAGGCCATGTTGTGAAGGGGATTGTGTCGCCCAATCAACACCTAGGGTCAGCAAACAATGCCAACCCCAAATTAAGAAACCCTTGCTCTCTATTGGGGGTTGTGGCAAATCACACCACCTCGAACTGAGATATCTCAAGGAAAACTTGCAACACCCAGCCATCTCAGCCGCCTTTAAGTTGATCCTCGCCAAACAAAACCTGCCCAGCTGCTATTTCTACTTCTGCTGCTTCTGCTTGACTTGATACTGCTTCCCCTGCCGGTGGTCCACAGGACGACCGGAAGAACTGGGATGTAACATCCCGACAAAAAACATGGTGAAACGTAGCATCTATGGAGGTTCAGCATGTTTCAGCCTTTTTTGGATCATCTCCGGGCCTATTCAACAAATGGTGGCCAACTACCACTGTTACCCTGTGATAAGCCCACTTGTAGGATGTAGACATTACTTTGGGATCCAATCATTTCCTTTTCTTTTTCGGATGGTAGGTCAAGACCAGCAATATGGTAGGAATAGAACTTAGGAGCGCCATCCCTAAAAGAACGCCGCAAGATTGGGGGAGAAACCGTTCATCTAGCAACATCAGTAGACTTGCTGACCATCCCCACTCAAAGAAAACAATCTAGACGTTCCATGGCATATCGTGACACATGTAGCCTCCAAAGTGATCAAAAGGGCGGGTGCAGAATTGTGCGTCGAACATCGATCTACATCGGTCAACATCTATCTACATCTACCTACATCTACCTACATCTATCTACATCTATATATCTGCATCTATCTATCTGTCTATCTATCTGTCTGTCTGTCTATCTCTGTCTGCCTATAGGTCGGTCGGTCGGTCGGTCTGTCTGTCTGTCTGTCTGTCTGTCTATCGGTCGGTCTGTCTGTCGGTCTGTCTGTCTATCGGTCGGTCTGTCTGTCGGTCTGTCTGCGTCGGTCGGTCTGTCGGTCTGTCTGTCTGTCTATCTATCGGTCGGTCTGTCTGTCGGTCTGCCTGTCTGTCTCTCTCTCTCTCTCTCTCTCTATCTCTCTATCTACCTATCTACCTATCTACCCATCTACCCATCTACCTATCTACCTATCTACCTATCTACCTATCTACCTATCTACCTATCTACCTATCTACCTATCTACCTATCTACCTATCTACCTATCTACCTAACTATCTAACTATCTATCTATCTACCTACCTACCTACCTACCTATCTATCTATCTATCTATCTAATCTATCTAATCTATCTAATCTATCTAATCTATCTAATCTATCTAATCTATCTAATCTATCTAATCCATCTAATCCATCTAATCCATCTAATCTATCTAATCTATCTAATCTATCTAATCTATCTAATCTATCTAATCTATCTAATCTATCTAATCTATCTAATCTATCTAATCTATCTAATCTATCTAATCTATCTAATCTTTCTAATCCATCTAATCCATCTAATCCATCTAATCCATCTAATCTATCTAATCTATCTAATCTATCTAATCTATCTAATCTATCTAATCTATCTAATCTATCTAATCTATCTAATCTATCTAATCTATCTAATCTATTTTATCTATCTAATCTATCTAATCGATCTAATCTATCTAATCTATCTAATCTATCTAATCTATCTAATCTATCTAATCTATCTAATCTATCTATCTATCTATCTATCTATCTATCTATCTGTATATATGTATACACGTATATCTGTCTCTCTGTCTATCTGTCTATCTAATCTATCTAGTCTATCTAATCCATCTAATCTATCTAATCTATCTAATCTATCTAATCTATCTAATCCATCTAATCCATCTAATCTATCTAATCTATCTAATCTATCTAATCTATCTAATCTATCTAATCTATCTAATCTATCTAATCTATCTAATCTATCTAACCTATCTACCTATCTACCTATCTACCTATCTACCTATCTACCTATCTACCTATCTATCTATCTATCTATCTTTCCATCTATCCATCTATCCATCTATCTATCTATCTACCTATCTATCTCTATCTCTATCTCTCTGTCTCTCTGTCTATCTATGCATCGATCTTTCCATCTATCTATCTACCTATCTATCGATCGATCTATCTATCTATGCATCGATCTTTCCATCTATCTATCTACCTATCTATCGATCTATCTATCTATCTATCTTTCTAATATCAATTTATCTATGCATCTAAGATGCAAATGGGTGTATGTAGAGTATATGTAAATAAGAATGAAAAAACGTGCATGCACAAGCACAAACCCCTCTCTCTCTCTCTCTCCATTTATATGTGTATATATATATGTATATGCATGATACAGTGTATATATAAGTATACTAAATAAATATATATATATATGTATGTCTCGTGTGAATGGACCAAAGAGCAAAACTGCAGAAACATTGCCGAGGACCGGACACAAATGTGTGTCTAATCTCACCTGACTCGCCTACTCATGGTCATAAATGTTGTTGGCACACATGTCAGCACAAATTGGTTGAATATATATATATGGGAAGGTAAAACCACAACACAACCACTCTAACATGCCAGTTGTTTAAAATTTGTTGAAGGATGTTGAACACACTAACTAGGATCATCCAAACATGAACCCAAAAGTATGCAAACAATCTTTGCCAACGGTATATGGTTTCCTTGTTTCCAGTTAGCCATTTGGATCTGGCCATGGTCCATCGCTTTGGGCAAGTGGCAGCATACTCCCCAAGTCCACTTTTCGGCAGGTCTTTCTTGCCACCGTTGCAAGGGCTTTCCTGAGCATCGGGCCACAGGGGCGATGGGAGCCATGGCCTACTTCACCTGTGATGCTGATGCCCCCTGGCGAAAATAGTACTCATCCAACATGATCCAAACCAGGATGGAAAACCAAAGTAAAAACATTACCAAAACTACTTAACACATCTTGAAGCAGCATCAGGTATTGTTGTATTTCTCGGTCATGTTCATTTGTTCATCCTGTGTGCAAGAATGATGTCTCTATGGTGCAAACAAATGGAGGGATAGATGAGCAAGTGCAATGTGCACCCCCCTCCCCCCCAAAAAAACTGCCGACATACTACTGACTGACTGTGACACGCACACACACACAAACCAAGAAACCAAGAAACCAAGAAACCAAGAAACCAAGAAACCAAGAAACCAAGAAACCAAGAAACCAAACAAACAAACAAACAAACAAACCAACGAACAAACAAACAAAGAAACAAACAAAACAAACAAACACACAAGCAAGCAAGCAAGCAAGCAAGCCAAGCCAAGCCAAGCCAAGCCAAGCCAAGCCAAGCCAAGCCAAGCCAGCAAGCAAGCAAAGAAACAAACAAACGAACAAACGAACAAACGAACAAACAAACAAAACAAACAAACACACAAGCAAGCAAGCAAGCAAGCAAGCCAGCCAGCCAGCAAGCAAGCAAGCAAGCACGCAGGCAAGCAAGCAAGCAAGCAAGCAAGCAAGCAAGCAAAGAAACAAAGAAACAAAGAAACAAAGAAACAAAGAAACAAACAAACAAGCAAACAAACAAACAAACAAACAAACAAACAAAACAAACAAACAAACAAACAAACAAACAAACAAACAATCGAGGTTGCATTTGGAGCACGTCTGTCTGTGTTTTCCTTCTTTATATCCCTTCGCAAGCTAGCTATTGAGTGCTGAACCGGGAGCTAATTTTGGCATTGAGGACGATTGTGAGGCGCTTCAAATTTGGCCAGCGCAAACTGGGACAAGCATGGAAAAGTGACCATTGGAAAGGAACTCACGATGTAGATGAGGGTGCAAACTCTGGCGAACATTCATCTTCATTACCCACAAAACTTGGGAAGTTTCACCACAAGACTTCCTGGGCCCCTTATCATTTGGTCAGAAAACTATTACTGGCTCCTAGTACGTCATGGGCTGCCCAAAATCGGAAACATACCGTGCTTTCGGACAAATATAATATTATTAAAATGAAGAAGAAAAATAATACATAATAAACATGCAGAATACTTATATATATTTATATTATATACATATAGTATAATTATATATATATTCATACACATACATGAGAGAGAGAGAGAGAGAGCCATCCTTCAGCTCCATTAATCTCTTATCACCCAGCCACTGGAATTTTCTCATCAACCGTTCCAGGCGTTCGTTCTCCGTCGCTGTATGGACAGACTCTCGTTCCTTCGGCCACGGCATACTGGGAGACGTGGAACCTGGCACGAAAGGCTGTCGGAGGGTGATATGTGAAGCCCTAGAGAACCCCTCTTCAAAACATCTGGCCAATTTGTTCGGAAAACGAACAGTCCTATAGAGTTGCAGTGGGGATGTATTATGTAACGGACACATTCAGTTACAAACCACGATATTTGACAGCATAAACAATGGTTTGCTGGAAAAACAGCACCGAAATACATCCTGTGAAAGACCCGACAGCGAGGTCTTAGCAATCCCATTACCAAACCACAGACTGCAGAGCGGACATGAGAGAACCTTCGGCCCTACCCAACCCACCCATATACAACCATGGAAGTGGCTGAAAACACCTCAGTATTGGAACCAATTCTCGTTTTCTGTCTGAAAAAGATATGTACATTTGTTTCGTCCTTCAAACTCCTTTGACTTGGCCCAACATGGGGGGCTACCAGCCGATTTGAGCCATGTTCAACTCCCGCCGTGTCATCCTTAGTGCATGTGCAATCCCCTAAAACCTGGTAGGATGACAACCCTCCCACCGAGCATCAACCAACCACCATTCGGGTGTTATTTTACGTCGACGTATCCATGCTGTTTGCTCACAGATTCCAGTGCTGATGCGATTGGAATGGGTTATCACAACTTGAATCACAACCCATCATGATTCGGTATTACGCTATCCGCTATCCCATATGAAAGCGAAGCCACAAAGGAATTAGGATGATTTAGGTCAGTTCTTGGAAGTGCATCATAGCTCCTAAGTGGTTATAATTGTGGTGCGACTCCATGTATGAATGGATCATGACAAAACGCGACGGGTTATCATAGTGGGATGCACATCCAAGTTTGAATAAATAATTCATAATATTCCCCTATGATTTTCTACAGTTCCGGAAAATGTGACCCATGTGTCCATAATTTTGACATTATTTTCTCAAGGAAAGCCCCTTCCATGCCGCTTCCCCGGTACCTCCGTAGCGTTGAATCGACTCACGGTGTAGCACATGCAGCTTGGCCGGCTCCATGATCTGGATACCTCCGGGAAGACCGATGTCACCCTCGCCAAACCTGACGAAAAGGCAAGGGAGGCAAGGGAGGCACGGGAAGATTCCACACATGACGAATCTACACAGGGCATGATATAATATGAACTAATTAATACAAGTACCAGTAGTACCGCACAAGGCGGTGGCGGAAGTTTCAAAAATAGGAAACCTATAGGAGAGGTTGGTTGTTGTGAATCACGGATGGCAGAGCGAATCCACTGATGGACCGACAAGTGGTTGGAGTTGTGATTTTTGGAGTGGCTGCAATGGTTGCACTGGTCACCTTACCACAACTGCTGGATGTAGTGTGGTGTTGTGCAGTTGTAGTTGTAGTTGTGGTGTGGTGTAATTAGTGTAGCGTATTGTAGTGTACTGTATTGTAGTGTACTGTAGTGTTGTGTACTGTAGTGTGGTATAGTGTAGTGTAGTCTAGTGTAGTGTAAGGTAGTGTAGTTGCAGTTGTAGTGTGGTGTAGTGTAATTGGTGTAGCGTTGTGTAGTGCAATTTAAGTGGTAGTTACACTTGTAGTTGCAGTTGTAGTTGCTGTTGTAGCGTAATGTAGTGTAATTAGTGTAGTGTAGTGTGGTGTGATGTAGTGTTGCGCAATGTAGTGTAGCTGTAGTTGCATGCCATGCGTATTTGTAGTTGTAGTGTGCTGCAGTGTAATTTGTGTAGTGTAGTGTAATGTAGTGTAGTTGTAGTTGCATTTGTATTTGTAGTTGTAGTGTGCGGCAGTGTAACTAGCGTAGTGTAGTGTAATTAGATGTAATTAGTGTAGCGTAGTATAGCGTAATTAGTGTAGCGTAATGTAGCGTAATGAGTTTATTTGTATTTGTAGCTGTAGTAGTGTGGTGTAGTGGTAGTGGTAGTGGTGGTTGTAGTTGTAGTTGTAGCTGTCTATCTATCTATCTAATCTATCTAATCTATCTAATCTATCTAATCTATCTATCTATCTACCTACCTATCTATCTATCTATCTATCTCTCTATCTCTCTGCCTAATCTAGCTTTCTATCTATCTACCTACCTACCTGTCTATCTATCGATCAATCTATCTATCAATCTATCTAATCTATCTATCCATCCATCCATCTATTTAATCTATCTATCTAATCTATATTCTACCTACCTAATCAATCTAGCTTTCTATCTAATCTATCTAACCAATCTATCTATCTATCTACCTATCTATCTATCTATCCATCTATCCATCTATCCATCTATCTATATATCTATCTATCTATCTACCTATCTATCTATCTGTCTATCTATCTATCTATCTAAGCTATATAAGCTATCTAAGCTATCTATCTATCTATCTATCTATGTATCTCTCTATCTCTCTGTCTAATCTATCTTTCTATCTATCTACCTACCTACCTATCTATCTTTCTATCTATCTATCTATCTATCTATCTAATCTATCTAATCTATCTAATCTATCTAATCTATCTAATCTATCTATCTAATCTATATTCTATCTATCTAATCTATCTAGCTTTCTATCTAATCTATCTATCTATCTGCCTATCTATCTCCCTACCTATCTATCTATCTATCTAGATAGCCATCTATCCATCTATTCTTTCTATCTATCGATCGATCTATCGATCAATCAATCAATCAATCTATCTATCCATCTATCTACCTATCTATCTATCTATCTAGCTGTCTCTCTATCTCTAACTGTGTATCTAGCTATCTACACATCTACCTATCTGTCTATCTATCTCTCTGTCTGTCTATCTGTCTGTCTATCTATCTACCTGTCTATATGCCAGCTTGAAAACCAAGCTATTCTGCGAGACTTCCTCATTTTTTGAAGTTGACCACATCAAAAACGAAGCAATTCGGCGAGACTTCCTCATTTTTCAAAGTTGACAATATCACAAACGAAGCACTTCTGCGAGACTTCTTCAATTTTTCAACTTGACAACATCAAAAACAAAGCAATTCTGCGAGACTTCCTTCAAAAATGGAAAGTTGAGTGCAGAGCTAACAGCTTCGTAACAATGCGTTTTGCGATTTTTCCAGTCCACCTGTCGAAAGTACTGCGCCTGCCACGAAAAATTGATGCCAGGTCATATGAAGTGCTGCACCTGTCACGCAAAATCATCTCAGCAAACCTGAAGATCTGATGCTCCAAAATGCAACCCCTCTCAGGAAATCAGCGCCCTGACCTCCTAACATCTCTGATGAACATGTCTTTTGTACTGCGCCTGCCACGCGAAATGCATCTTTGAAGACCCTCTTCAAATGTCCCACGCCTGCCATCGCTTTTGGAAATGCTACAAAACCCTCACGTTTTTTGTTCACTTTTGACAAGGTGCACAATCCCTTGCGCCTGCCACGCGAAAGCACATCTGAACGTCCAAAAGTGCTCCGTACCCGTCAGTTTTTTGCATTGTTGACTTCAAAATGTGCTTCGCGCCACAACGGCGTGCACTTTTTCGACATCTTAACTTCCAAAAGTGGTCCGGAGCTGGTGTGTTTTGTACATTTTGACTTGGAAATGTGCTTCGCGCCACAACAGCGTGCACTTTTTCGACATCTTAACTTCCAAAAGTGGTCCGGAGCTGGTGTGTTTTGTACATTTTGACTTGGAAATGTGCTTCGCGCCACAACGGCGTGCACTTTTTCAACATCTCAACTTCCAAAAGTGGTCGATGGCTCCGCACCCGCCGCTTTAGCGAGCCTACTTTTCGACCCTCTGGAGCCACAAATCACTGGAAAAACACAGTGTTTGGCGGCTTTCCTACCTTTTCGCGCATCTGCATCTTCTTTCTTCTGACTCTTTCTCTTCTCTTCTCTTCTCTCTGCCTCTGCCCAGCTCTGCTTTTCATCTGCCCATATTGTCGGAAGTTTGACTTCTAAACTTCCTTCGATAATAATGTACATATATGTATACAAATATAATATATATATATATATATATAAATACATGGAATATATAATGAATATAATTCATGGTTGATAGTTTAACCCATCACAACTAAAACGGTAAATTGTGAATGAGTGGGCTAGGTTATGATTCGTAATCTGCCATGAAAAGTAATCATAAATAAATATAAATAAATGATTCTGGTTAATCAATGTGAATAGGTGCCTGTTGACACTATAGGTTTGATGGTTTCGAAATCAAATAATGTAGCATGGATAATGATAAACATAAATAAAGATGATGAATAATAGTTGCGGGGTGCTATCACTTTTGGGATGCACCCGATATTTGCGGAAATCCTGAATCCATTGGATTGGTTGAGGGATACGTGTGGAAAAAAACAAACAAACAGTTGCTTCATGTACTTGACATGCTCTAAAATCGTCTAATGACTAATGAATACTAATGACTAATGAGGTGTGCCAACCATATCCAAACATGCCATATGTCCTTCTTACAATTTCCCTCAAAGCGAAGATTTTCCCACCTGTGAACCCTACAGTGATGTCTGGAGGTGAGCCAAATAAGTAACCCATATTTTAAAGCATCTAAGAGAGCCTGGGTCCATGTTCAACTCCAAGCCGATTCGATGTAAATTAAGTAAATCTTGCAAAGCCCCCCAAAATTCACCTTGCCCCGGCGCTAGGCTGATGGAAAAAAGAAGAAACACATGAAAAACATCTTAAACACTTTGACAACAATGAAAAATGACAAACATCTTTAAAAACATTGAAGAACATCAAAAATATTGACAAACATCTTAAACACATTGAAGAACATGAAAAATATTGACAAACATCTTTAAATGCACTGAAAAACATGAACAATCATGACACACATCTGAAAAACATTGAAAACAATGAAGCATAATGACAAACATCTTTTAAAAAAATGAAAACAATGAAACATAATGACATAATGACAAACATCATTAAAACATTGAAAACAATGCAACATAATGACAATCATCTTAAAAACATTGAAAACAATGAGCAACATGACAAACATCTTAAAAAACATTGAACAATGAAACAATGACAAACATCTTGAAAACAATGAAACAAATGACGAACATCTTAAAACACATTGAAAAACATAATGACAAAGATCTTAAACACATTGAAAACAATTGAAAACAATGACGAACATCTTTAAAACATTGAAAAACAATGCCGCCCAACCCGGGCATCATGTTTTTTCGCGTTTCGACCTCTTGCTGCAGGGAACTCTAAGGGCTCATCCAACATCAACGAACCCACGAAGTGATTCCACGTCTTCCTCCGCAGCGTCTGCAGGTAATCCACCTCGATCTGCATCCGCCGCCGCAACGCTGCGTAACCCACCTGCCCAGTCGCAGGGGATGCATGCAGGGAATCCGCCAGGGCGGGCAAGGGGTCGATGAGAGCGACAACAAAAACAGTTGATTGGTGATGTTTGTCATTCAGCGTTGTTGGGTGTACATGTATGTTACACACACATATATATATATTTATGTGTGTGCGTATGCTGAACAATCACTTATCAGACTTATCATTGGTTTGACAACCCAAATCGTATATAGTTTCATAACCGGTGATGATTTGTAATGAGGTTTTATCATCAACCATCATCAACCAACCATCATGAATAATAAATATATTACAGCCTTTAAATTTGTACGATGGTTTGATGATGTGGGCAACCTATAGGTAGTTAGTACTCATGTAAAATGAACTATTGAGGAGTCAGAATGGGGATTGCCAACGATGAAGCATGCGAACACAATCAAACGTGATGGCCGAACGATGGGTTCTAGTAGGGCTATTGTAACCTACATGTGTATAAATAATTTTCTGGTGGCTATGTTTTTTTAAAGAAAACAAACATATAGGATATAATTTTCACAAAGGTTTTTGGCGCGCCCTCCAACCAACAAATATTTAAGATTATGGAGAAAAAACATGGATACTTTTGGGTCTATATGTGGACAAGCTGTATATAATTAGTAATTAATTAGTAGGTGGGCCTAGAAACCAATTTGTGACTGACGCTCCCACACGAAGTGCAAGGTGTTTGCAACTTGCTGGGGATTAACCCTTTTGGAGGTGGGTGGTTTTCTACTCTGCATCTTGGGATATCACCCACCCACCCTCTTCCATTTTATTCCCTTCATTTTTGGGTTATACATTGCATCCCGACTTGCATGTTTAATATCCAATGTTTGATGCTTAGCATGCAGTTTTGGTAGGTCCATGTCGGTCCAACAAGAACAGCAACCTACAATTCTGCATGGGGTATAGCTTTCAATCATCCCTTTAACCACATGTTCTCATCCAAAGTTCAGCATGTTCAGCCTTTCTCTTCCCAGCATTTCCCAGCATTTCCCTATGCCACCCTCCCGAGCTCCCCGAGTTCCCCCACCATACTATCATAGAGCTCCAGGTACGACTGGGTCAACTGGGCCACCAGGATGCTGAAAGTGCCCACCAAGATCACCACGAGGAACAGGCCCACGCCCACCGAAAGCAGCGGAGACCTCTGGACTTGTTTCGCAACACGTTGATGGAAATTGGCCCAAAAATGCCGCCACTCCACCCACAACTCCATATTTTTATATGCATGTGCAAAACACATATTTGTGTTGATATTGAAAAGATACACATAGATACACATAAAACTGCCAGAAGATACCTACTAGTACATTGTCTTGGAGTCTTGGAGATCTACGATGCTCAACCAGTCTACGGCTTGCATAGAATTGCAGGATGGTACCGAGAATGGTCCTTAAACAGACCAGCAAGCAGGCCCCACCCACACACACACATATCTTGCGGAATGCAAGTGCATCTTTATTCACGAGGGCCTCGCGCTCGTTCTCTCTCGTGGGCATTGGGCACGCAGTCATGTGCTAAACACTTGGCATAACAAAGGGTCCCATGGCTGCATGAAGTTACAACCTCTTGGCGTATCAGTCATGATTATTCATGTGATGTGCACAAATGCGTAGACACATGATCTATATATATATATAGTTACAAAGTGCTACTGTTGTTATTATCATAACTATTCATATTATTACTACTATTATTACTACTATTATTGCTAGTATTAGAACTAATATTAATATGATTATTGCATAATATCAAACATACATGTATATATACAATATATATTTACATATACATATACATATGCATAAAACACACACACACATATATATATACATGATGTATATTCATAATATGTAGCATAGACAGGGGCACAGTAATTTTGATGAACATTCAGAGCACCTTCCAGCACACCCCAGAGTGAAGTGGGAACCCCTTTTGCTGAAGTATAAAGATGTTCATGTCGGGGCGATCAATCACGGCATCCAAGGGCAAAGCCTTCCTCCCATTAATTCCCTTCCAGCCTAGACTAGGTGGGATGTCCGACCCCTCTCGGTTTATTGGCCACCCAAACGATTGATGTTTCATGATTTTTCGAGGAGCAGCACCCCATCAGAGTGATTTTCCATGGCACGTTGATTCACCCAGTGGCTAGGTATGATCCAAATCTACCTTCATCTGGTTGCTTCTTCGGGGGAAATGCAGGCAGGTCTACTAAGGCCACCATGCTTAATTAAGGGTTTTGGCAAACTTTTGGGTTAACATGATGTGCCCCCCCAAAAAAAAATCTCAGTCTTAGCGGCTGCGAAATGGCCACCAAATCTTCATCGCTGTTGATTCGCAACGCAAACTGGAAGAGTCGCAGCAAAGAGGTTGGGAATTCCTGCTGCTCTGGGTCAAATTGGTAGATCTGGGGGTGCTGGGTCATGAATCTGATGAATTATGCTACTTTACGGCTGAAGTGTGGTGAAGAACACTGAAATCTGCCAATTTCTGGAGGTGATTGCCCTCACCATTCATACTTCATGGCAGCCGGCAATATGAAGCAACCAGAGCTTCGTAGTGGATGAGCTACCCGCTGAAAAAATCAATACTGTAAACCAACTCGGGGTCATAATCCTACTGTTGTGGATCGAACATGGCAAACACAAGTTTTTTGAACCACCAGCCAACCACATGATGTTCCGGGTTCAACTAAGCTTAGGGACCCCGTGAATCCCATGGCTGTGGGATTGTTTCATGTTTTTTCCCCGTGTGTCTGAGACGAAATCAAACAAACAATAAACCGCATAAAAAAAACAAGGATCAACAAGGTGTGCTGCTTCCAAGTTTGGCCAGCAAATCGAAATGTGATGGGATGTGTCTCAAAATTGCTCACTTTCAAAATCCACTGAGCTCGCCTAACTAGACGACGGATGGCCCGAGAGCGTAGAGGAGCAGAGTCTTCTTCTGCTGTTAGTATTTTTTTTTTTTAGCCTAAGCCACCTTTGCTGAACGCACGCGGCCGTTGGCCCTAGGTCCTGCTGTGTGAACAAGGTTCAAAACGAAACGGAAGAATCTATGGACAAGAGGAAAACTAAAAGGAAACTACCGCTGTACAATCATAGCTCTCACTTCAGGCTTCGCTTTTATTATCCAGAATCAGTAACAGATCATCAAACTATCAAGTAGCATTGCAAGAAGGTTTGAAATGTAGAATTGTCGCTTCACATGGAGAGGTTCACAAAGAGATGTTCAAATTGAGTGGTGGCATATGTGTAACTGTCATATACTGCTGTTAGTATGGCGACACTATATTGCAAGACAATATATTAAAGATGTATTACAGGCAGACGAGAAGAGTAGTATCAAGACAATATTATATGGCATCGTATCTTTTGCATCGTATCTTTCAAAAAGTTTTTCACGCACAGAACTTTTTACAGACAGACGCTTTTGCACACAGACGCTTTTACACACAGACGCTTTTACACACAGACGCTTTTACACACACACACAAACACTTTTACACACAGAGACTTTTACACACAGACGCTTTTACACACAGAAGCTTTTACACACAGACGTTTTTACACACAGACGCTTTTACACACAGACGCTTTTACACACAGACGCTTTTACACACAGAGCTTTTACAGACACTTTTACACACAGACACTTTTACACACAGACGCTTTTACACACAGACGCTTTTACACACAGACGCTTTTACACACAAACCACTTTTACACACAGAGACTTTTACACACAGACGCTTTTACACACAGAAGCTTTTACACACAGACGCTTTTACACACAGACGCTTTTACACACAGACGCTTTTACACACAAACACTTTTACACGCAAACACTTTTACACACAGAGATGTTTACACTCAGAAGCTTTTACACACAGACGCTTTTACACACAAACACTTTTGCACACAGAGACTTTTACACACAGACATACACAGACGCTTTTACACACAGACGCTTTTACACACAGAGGGTCTTACACACAGAGACTTTTACACACAAACACTTTTACACACAAACACTTTTACACACAGAAGCTTTTACACACAGACGCTATTACACACAGACGCTTTTACACACAAAAGTTTACACACAAACAGTTTTACACACAAACACTTTTACACAGAGACGCTTTTACACACAGAAGCTTTTACACACAGACGCTATTACACACAGACGCTTTTACACACAGACGCTTTTACACACAGACGCTTTTACACACATCGCAATTTTACTTCAGTTTTTGGCGATCCAACCTCATTTCGTGCGAAAGGGACGTGCGAAAGGGTCGCGCGGGACAAGTTGAAATCGCAATTTTACCTCAGTTTTTGCCGATCGAACCTCATTTCGTGCGAAAGGGTTCACCGGAAACACGAAATCGCAATTTTACCTCAGTTTTTGACGATCGAACCTCATTTCGTGCGAAAGGGTTGCGCCGGACGACTTGAAATCGCAATTTTACCTCAGTTTTTGGCGATCGAACCTCATTTCGTGCGAAAGGGTTGCGCGGGACAAGTTGAAATCGCAATTTTACCTCAGTTTTTGGCGATCGAACCTCATTTCGTGCGAAAGGGTTGCGCCGGACAAGTTGAAATCACAATTTTACCTCAGTTTTTGGCGATCGAACCTCATTTCGTGCAAAAGAGTTGCGCGGGACAAGTTGAAATCGCAATTTTACCTCAGTTTTTGACGATCGAACCTCATTTCGTGCGAAAGGGTTGCGCAGGACAAGTTGAAATCACAATTTTACCTCAGTTTTTGGCGATCGAACCTCGTTTCGTGCGAAAGGGTTAAGCGGGACAAGTTGAAATCGCAATTTTACCTCAGTTTTTGACGATCGAACCTCATTTCGTGCGGGAGGGTTGCGCCGGACAAGTTGAAATCACAATTTTACCTCAGTTTTTGACGATCGAAGCTCATTTCGTGCAAAAGGGTTGCGCGGGACAAGTTGAAATCACAATTTTACCTCAGTTTTTGGCGATCGAACCTCGTTTCGTGCGAAAGGGTTGCGCCGGACAAGTTGAAATCACAATTTTACCTCAGTTTTTGGCGATCGAACCTCATTTCGTGCGAAAGGGTTGCGATTTTACCTCAGTTTTTACGATCGAACCTCATTTCGTGCGAAAGGGTTGCATTTCGTGCCGTCTCGTTGGCACTGCCCCTGCTCCCGCCTTCAAGAGAGAAATAGAAAAGAAGGAGAGGCAAGAGGGCAAGAGGAGAAGGTGTGAGATGAGATGTAAAGATGAGAAGATGTGAGAAGATGTGAGAAGATGTGAGAAGATGTGAGAAGATGTGAGAAGATGAGAAGATGTGAGAAGATGTGAGAAGATGTGAGAAGATGTGAGAAGATGTGAGAAGATGTGAGAAGATGTGAGAAGATGTGAAGATGAGGAGAAGATGGGAGGATGAGAAGATGGGAGGATGAGAAGATGTGAAGATGAGAAGATGTGAAGATGAGAAGATGTGAAGATGTGAAGATGTGAAGATGAGAAGATGTGAAGATGAGAGGATGTGAAGATGAGAGGATGTGAAGATGAGAGGATGTGAAGATGAGAAGATGTGAAGATGAGAAGATGTGAAGATGAGAAGATGTGAAGATGAGAGGATGTGAAGATGAGATGTTTTACAGACCCCCACTATTGGAAGAACCCTGCGCTCAGACGCTCTCGGGAATTATGCTTATTTAAAAAGTAATTGTGCTGCTTGGCAGTCCGACACAACTGGAAAAAACCTTGAATCTCCCTGGCTTTTGCGTTACAGTCCCGGGCTGTCCTGAAAACTCCTCACGTCGTTCACGCTCACAGCAACGCAAGTGGCAAACATGAAGATGAAAAAACACCTCAATAAACCAGGGATGCACGCGGACATCTGCAGCCCAACAAAAGCGATGCAAAACAACGCATGGAAACCCAGAAAATCATCAGAAGTCCGATATGGAGGCTCCCTTTCATGTACATATCTCCTTCCCTCCATATCCACTTTCAAGAAAGTGCCAAGACATGCATGGTGAGTAGCAATCATTCATTCTCGCAGCAAACACCGAATGAACAAAACAGGATGAGCAAGCATCAAATGCTAAAATCTAAATATGTGTGTATTGAAAAATCCCAATTTCGATAAACCAATTTCTTGCAGGCTGTGGTCAAAAAGGGTTCGTTTATGGGAATGTTATCGGTTTGAACCTGCAATGCCAATCCCTGTTCTGAAACGGTTCTGTTTCGGGCCTGTGCTGCCATGATCTAGTTGGAGACATAAACAAGGTACCGGCGCCTGTAAGGCGCCGTGCGTTTATGGCGACTTTGACAATCACCAAACGATGGTGGTTTTGAACAACTTCACATTGAATCGATGTGAGAAAAGCTGTCAAAACCATTGAAACGGTTCGCCGAAGATGTAATTTTCGATAACCTCTCCAAGAGTTCGCACATTTTTTTCAAGTCACAGGGCCGCCTCAAACTTTAGTTTTGCCATATCTGTGGCACAGCTCAGAGAAGTCTAGAGAAGCTCTTGTGACGTAGCATCAACTACTTGATATACAACGCAAGTGCAAGAACGTTATTGCCCCAGCAAACCCCCCAACAAACTCCGCCCCAAGTGTATGACGTAGGCACATAAAAATAATATTAAAGTAAGTACGCAAGTGCAAGGACGTTATTGCCCCAACCCACCCCCAACGAACCCCACCTCAAATGTATGACGTAGGCACAGGAAGAGTACATTAAGTACGCAAGTGCCAGGACGTTGTTGCCCCAACCCACCCCCCCAACCAACCCACCCCAAGTGTATGACGTAGGCACAGGAAAAAGTACACTAAGTACGCAAGTGCCAGGACGTTGTTGCCCCAACCCACCCCCCAGCCAACCCCACCCCCAGTGTATGACGTAGGCACAGGAAAAGTATATTATATAAGTACGCAAGTGCAAGGACGTTATTGCCCCAACCCACCCCCAGAACCAACCCAAATATATAAGCAATGGAGAGAAAAAAGGTCACGAACGCACGGCACCTTATAATCTTATAGGCGCCGGCACTATAAACAAATTGCAGCATGAACATTCCTTTCTGCAGTGTTTTATACCAAGCCGTGAAAGCAACGCCGCGACACCAAACAACGGTTGTGAAGTGAACATATCTAACAAGAGTGACTTTCAATAGCTATATGTTTATATTAAGAATTACCAGAGGGTATCCCATGGTATCCACATCCGAAATCATCTCATCCTGTGCCCATCGCAACATCTTCCCAAGGTGCAAGGCGGAGAGCGCCAGGACGAGTTCAGGAAGCACGTTAATGGCCACCTGGAATTTGGGAGCAGAAAAGGATTGCCCACCCCTTCCAAACAAAAACGGTAGGATTCCACTAGAAAATGGTGGGCTAACCAAAAAAATACAGTAGACTGTCTGTAATAGGTACACCAGTACATCATCTGTAGAAGGTGATGCCCCTACTTCGCCAAGCTGGTTACCATGCTAGCAATTGGATGTATGGTGGATATATATATATATAGAACTGGTTAATGGGGTTTATTCAGCAAAACACATCACTCCGGGGGCACCTTGTATGTATTCCTGGATTTGCTTAGAAAGACACATGTTACCAGAGATTCCCAGTCCTGATAGTACAGGGTGATGCCCCAGTTTGTTAGCAAAATTGACAAAGGTTTACGGTGAGCAAAACCACATTTGGATAGGCATTATTCAACCCACAAAGATCCCAACTTGGTGGCTCATCCCACTTAGGTACAGTAACCATAATGCCCCAGTTGTGGGATATAACCCCATTTTTGAACAATAATTTTGTGACTTCTGGTTATTTACAACAAAGTCATGGAACAATCACAGTTGTTTATGGTGTCACGTACTCTCGGTACTCGGCAACGGTGCACGTTTTTGATGGGATGCTGATGATATGTTTGTGGTACGGTGAGGGTAGGGTGGGGTGGGGTGGGGTGGGGGGCTAATAACGTTCAAGTATACTTCTACACACACGTCATGCTACGCTACTGCACGTTTCTCTTGCACTTGAACACACACGTCATGCTACGCTCTGCACGTTCTCTTGCACTTGCACACATAGGTCATGCTACGCTACTGCACGTTTCTCTTGCACTTGCACACACACGTCGTGCTACGCTACTGACTTCCACACACACGTCATGCTACACTACTGCACGTTTCTCTTGCACTTCCACACTCGCGTCATGCTACGCTACTGCACGTTTCTCTTGCACTTGCACACACACGTCATGCTACGCTACTGCACGTTTCTCTTGCACTTGCACACATACACGTCATGCTACGCTACTGCACGTTCCTCTTGCACTTCCACACACACGTCATGCTACGCTACTGCACGTTTCTCTTGCACTTGCACACATAGGTCATGCAACGTTGGGGTGGGGTGGGGTGGGGTGGGGGGGCTAATAACGTTCAAGTATACTTCTACACACAAGTCATGCTACGCTACTGCACGTTCCTCTTGCACTTGCACACACACGTCATGCTACGTTTGTGGGAATACATATGCCAGTTCGTCTACCGACATAACCATAAAGACCAGAAACCCAAGCTGCTCTGGATGAAAAACAAGTTTTGCGTACTTTTGCAGTTCGGGGCCTGGAATGATGATACACACAAAACACTGTAAATACCAGGTCAAATGCTCAATTTTGATCGATCTTTCCCGAGTACTGAGGAGGCGTGTTACCTTTTTGTTTATCGGTAAATCATCATAAAAGATCGTAAACCCTTTATCAATGGGCTATGTTCCATATTGTCCAAAAGTCGCCTATTTAAAAAAACATGGTGAAATATGGAAAATCATGAAAAATCACCATGTTTCATATAAGGAAATCATCATGCGTGTTAAATTACCATAAATTACCAGAGGCTTTAAAACAAATCCACAACCACCAGGTCGGCCAAGCGTGGTCAAGATGCCAGGACGTAGGTGCTCAGTTTGGCGCTCAACGTGGCCAGGTCCATGAGCAACGACATGTAGAGCCCGATGACCAGCATGGAGATGACACCTGGATGATAATAAAGATATGCCTGTACACCTATAGTGCGTGATATATGTATATATATATAAATACATATATATATATATTGAATGCGTGTGATTGTGTGTGTGAGCTATTTATCGAATTGTTTAGATATTTGCATATGATGAAATATGAGCATTGTTTGATGACAGGATAGGATCGGCTGTTCACGCAAACATATTCTGTTGTGTGCGTGGCAAAAAATGTCAAAAATGGTAATTAGTTGATTATACGATATTGATGGTTCGTTTCCTTGTCAGTCATGAAGAACCGGGGCGTTACTCCCAAAGAAACGGAGAGATAATCTACCTCCGAAGGGGTTTTGCTCAACCCCCCGATCCACAGATGAGAGATGTGTATGTGCAGCCCTGTGCGGCATGTTCCTCTTGTTTTGTTTCATCAGCCTTAGCTTGTAAATGCGTCTGTGCTGATTTGGTCGAACCAAAAAGTATCACCTTCAGGACACTGCGGATGAGATGGGGGCGGACAACCTAGATGGGTAGAATGAATATATATATATAGGAACATAATAATCTGGCAATTGTCACCTGGCAATTCAAATTATACCGGACATCTGGTAATGGCCCCCAACATATGGGTGATACCGTCAATTAACAAAATCTATGATGAATAGTAACCGATACTTTACAGTAATTTGGTATTTTACGAACATTACCCACCAGCATGCTTCAAGCTTGATTTCGGGCCAGGAAGCCAGCAAAAAAACATAAAAAAAACTGATTTGGGTGTAGGTCACATGCAATATGTATTTACACACGCACACATATATATCATATATACATGTGTATGTATATATATATATGTAGATATATTTGTATACATATAGTTGTATATTTCTGTCTATGTAATTCTATGTACCTCAACATGCCTCAATGACTAGTGAAACATTGAGGACAACACAGCTCCCTCAAAATCGCAATTTTGCTCTGCCCCAGGGTCATTGAAGAAGGTGTCTTACAAGGGAAACATTCTACTGTCGTCTCTTCAGCGGTTGTCAACTGAACTAAATTGGTGAACTAGATTAAAGTTGTTTGGTGGTCAATTTGGCATTTGTTTGATGCATCGGTTTTGTATCTTTAAACACTTCACTTGCCAATGAACATACTGTATAGTAATTAAATATATTGGCATCCATAGACAGTGAGACAAACGTAACAGAACCCAGCGGCGAGGCATGGCAAGGCACTGTACACTTCACAAATACCTTGTGCCTCTGGACAGTTGTCGGTGAAAATCCCGGCTCCTTCGAAGTTGCCCTCTGAATGCCTTGTGCGGATCCATCATCTTTGATGAAAACGGTCACGTGCAAGACTTTCGACTTGCACAATATGTGTATATTATATTATATATTATATATACGTATGCATGTGTGTGTTCGTGTTTTGATATTATATATATATTACATTGTATATGTAAAAAAATATATGTATATTGGTTGTTAGAAATGTGTTCAATGTTGAAAGGGCATGGATGGACATCGAGACATATCGTGCGTGTATACCTTGTGTCAGACACAAGCATAAGACATCATAAAATCATTAAAATATATCACAGATAATCAATTATATGATGCAATGTTGGAAAAACAAACCATTTATATCCATGTATCATCAAATATATAAATGCCTGAAGGGATCTGAAGGGGTTCACTATACATCACTATACTTGATGGACCCTTGGAATCTCCTGGACCCAATGAGGGAACTTCAGGGGACTGACGGGGTGGCACTTGGATGATCTCGGATGATTCTGAACTTCTTTGTGCTTTGAAACTATCTTGGGAACATATGATGGTTTCATATGGTTTCCTAAAATGGTGGTACCCAAAAAATGGATAAATAGGATGGTTTATAATGGAAACTCCTATGAACGTGGATGACTTGGGGGTACCACTAGTTTAGGACACCTCTATATCTTACTGTGGAATCATCCTCCCAGTTACAGGATTGACCAAAGAAATCGTGTAAAGAACATCTTGGAACCTGGAACCAACAAAGTTTCCGATCTCACTGATTTCTCACAATGCTTTTCGTTGAATTGTCCAACGTTTCATCATGCGGGTCTGCTCAAAATCCAGTCCAAGGTGCTGCAGGCAAAAGAAGATTGGCTCGATAAAAAAACTCACGATCAGGCTCAGCACAAGCAAGAGACTCGCCTCAGCGATGTTTGGGCACCAAGTCGTTTTGTGTCGAGGGCAAATACGAGAAATTGGTGATGATACTGATAATGGCCGTGCTTTTTTGCATTTTTGGAGGCTTCAAATCAAAGGGAAATTGATGATAATAGCTAGCCCATGGCGGCCTTTGGCACTGGCCGGGATAGTATTTAGTATTTGACTGAAAACATAGGTCCCCATGCCCGCTGTGGTTGAGGGCCAAAGTGGAACATGCAGGAACCTGTGTTGCAGAACCAGAATGCTCCCCTGGAACTATGTCAATCACAACATGTGGCTCCAAGTTTTGCAGAGTCATGCTCACATTTTAGTCCTCAAGATTCTCCAAGCGAAAACCCTTGGGACCAAAAGAGAGACTATGTTTGGTTTCATGATCTGATGCCCACGTCCACCCGGATAATATAACAAACACTATAAGCTATGCTTGCTGGTTGGCGCTTCCAACCCTCCCGGCTAGGGATGACTAGTGGGTGCTTCGTCAATCTGCTACAATCTTGGATCCGCTGGCATTCAAAACTCTCTGATTCGCCGGAGATCGGAAATGACCACAAACTCCGAGCTGAAAACGACCGTCAACCCTGCAAACATACCCAGCACCCCCTGCACAATACAATGGGGGGTACCAGACAATCGTATCTTGATGGGACATGAGACATGGCTAGACATGGGACATGCAACATTGCCAGGTACTATAGGATATGCTAGTGCTAAAGTAGTACGTGCAACAAGGGCGCCGAATTGTAACCCAACGATCATGGCGCTACAGCTGTGCTTTTCGCCTTTCCCAGTGAACTATACCGCCTTTTTTTGCATTTTCAACCCATGCCCCTGCATCAAACACTTTAAAGAATCGCTTGGGTGTTAAACCAAAAGATAAAACAAAATCGAGAATAGTGCTCCCCAGAACAAATTGAACAAGAACAAATGTACCGTACCCTCAAACTCTGCACTCCCTTTGCTCCTTTCCTGTCGTTTTCGTAAACCCCATTGCATGCCGCTCCAACTACATGGGAAACATGTCTAATTCTTTTCTGGGCCCATGTTCGCCGTGTTCAACCCAGACTTTAAAGCTTTAGATTCCATATTAGATACTCATGACTTTTAAGTTGTCCCACCTCTTTGGATTCCCTTGAGCATTTTGAAAATAACCAACATGCCTATATACAATAAGTTGCCAATTTCTGGAATTATATATATATCCCAACGACGACTGGAAAACAAACGCCAGTGACTCATAATCTTTATAGCAACCCCGGAGAAAAACAACTAGAAAAGAATCCAACTTTGGGTGTAGTTGGTAGTGCCATAACGTCCTACCCTGCCGCAATAAACAAACATGGCATGCCTTAAAATCCCCGATTTCGAGATGAATTTCCCAGATGTAAACCTCCCTATATACAAGGGATTTCTCAGCCAGCCACGTTTGATTACCGAAGGGTAACTCTAATTGTTGGTTATACATCCTATAACTATATGATTTCCCTATGAATCCCTATATCAAGCCCAGTAATAGCTGGCTGGCATTCCCTATTCTACCGGATGGTAATCCTACAGTTTCTGAGGGTTCCGATGGGTTCCCCAAATATCCCGTTCTGTTCTTGCGCCTAGCAGCTGGTTCCCGCCAATTGTCAAAGTAGCGCTTCGGGATGGGAATCCGATCGAAGACAACCACCAGGTCGTTGTCCCTTATGGCCTGGCCAATGCCAAGAAATCACGCAAAAAAACGATAACAGAGCAACATGTCGAGTATAATTATATAGCATTATATAGCAACATTGGGGATTCAATGGGGATTTACCAACAATATTTAGGGATTTGCCAACCATTTTAGGGCATTGCCAATACTATCCAATACTATTTCTTTCCTGGCCAACTTGAGATGATCTGGATGTCTAAAAATGGGCTTCACCGGGGTCACCCCATCAATGGCGATTTTCAGAGGGACGTTTTCCGATAAACGATAAAATGTTGGGGTCCCGGATGGGTCATTGGAGGCTTGATGGATGAAGCATGGCTTTGCCCATTTGGGAACTAGCACCTTTGTTACTTGCGGATGTTCATGGGTTGAGCACATGGAATTCCAAGGTTCTCTGGCTGAAGAAATGTCCGGTGTCCCAAAGACATGCCTTTTCCTTCCGTGACATGTCTGGGTAAATTAAAATAATTGAGACCTGAAATAATAAGGCTATTTTGGGATAGTTCCCCCTAACCATCGATCTCGGTGAGGCCATTATAATTTACCCAGAAACTATACGTGAATCGGCCTGATAGGCGTGCCGAACTCGGCCATAAATCAAGTTCCTGAGGAACAAAAAGCCACAGGAAGTTCCTAGCAGCCACCCTTTCGCTGCTCACGAGTTGGGGAGAGAGACCTGGTCAATGACAATCGTAACCGCAAAATAGGTATAAACTTAAAACGGTAGAAAAGGTATCAAATATGTAGGTTATATTTTCAGATAAACTTAATAGTCTAAGGACTTTCTATCTCCATTTGAGACAATATGTGACTTTTTTTGGGGGAAGCCAAAAGAATCAACGACATCCGGATCCCATCCAGGTGGTTTGAGTCGTCGCCCCGCCGTGCCAAGTGTCGTCATACCTAAGAAGTAGATCACCGCGCGGCAGCTGAACATGGCGATGCGAGAATAAAGATGCTCCTGTTCATGCCTATGGTTCAGCATCCCATGGCCTTAGTGGTGAAATTGAATTCTTCCCCTAAAACAACTGGTTTAGCTTGATGAGTGGGATGTTCGGATTGTTCGGATAGATCGTGTTTATCCATACCAAATATGCACAAAACCAAATATCCACAATCAACCCAGTAACTTAGCACGAAGAGGATCAAATTGAACAAAAGCCAAGTACTTCCAAATACGAACTTCGATCGCACCACACCAGTCCAAATCACATCCTCAGTGATGGCTGAGGCATGGCTAGCAGGTTGAGGTTGGAACCACCTACTGAAGTCCACCATAAAAACCTTCCACCAAAAAAGAATACTAAGGATTCATGCTATCCACCATAAACTTCCACCATCATGATGATTCATGTATGTTTTTGATGCTTTGATATCTACGGCGCTTGCTCAACATGTGATCATTGGCCTATCCGATCGGCTGGTTCTGGCCGATCGAATCTGAAATTTCAGCTCAGTTGTGCAAGTCATGCCGGAAATGAACAAAGGTACCAGTATAAATAAACATTATGGTTTTATGCATTGGCCTAACAGTACTGTGAGATTTTGCACCATTCATTTAACTATTCAAATGCATTCATATGTCTCAATACGTGACGGAATGACAGCACAACAAGTCCACACGCTTAAAGGCAACAACTGGATATCCTTCCGGGCTCTGGAATATGTCCGCGAACATTCGACAAAATACAGAACAATGTAGAACAATGGTGGAAACTCGTTCATCAGTTCATCAGTTTCAAGCCATCTCAAATGTTGATTCTCAGCCATGGACCATGAAGGAAAATCAACTTTCAAAGTAACAACACAGGTCGCAGCCCCGCGTACCCGCAAATCTTGGTCGCTTGACCGCGCCCTTTTCGGCGATTCTTGGTGCTTGATCCACATGATTGGGTTTTTCCAATGTTTGGTGCTAGCCTGGCCCATCCTCTCCGACATGCAAGGCATGGCTCCACCAAACGCAGCAGGAAAGGATGCACCGTAATCTTTGGATCGTGAAGCTCCTGGTTGTGATTGTGATGGAAATTCGCCCCGGTAGAATTCCGGTTGTATTTCCAAATGGATTGCCAATGATTGCCATATATGCACGCAAAAAAACACACATACACTATAATATAGTAATATATTATATTAAAAAAACATTAAACAAAAACACATTAAATAACATGACTAAAAATGACTAAGTCTGTGCATTGTTAAAAAAGTGGAATCTTCCACCTCGAGATGAAAGTACCAAAGGTCTGGAATTCTGACCCATCCGGATGTTGTCTTTAGGTCCTCTGGAAACTCTGACCTGGAAATCGTTGAACATGAGCCTGCTCATCACCCACCTGATGGCATTACATATAATATACACATAAATAGATATTTAAATCAGATATTATATATTATAATATATATATATGCGTGTGTTGTGATCATTCGGGATTGCATAGGAATCTAGGACCTTTCTGTTGTTGATAACTCATCTTCAGTTCTTTTGGTTTATCGTGCTTTATAACAAATCCACCAATGTGCCATGATCAGCCGTGACCACGGATTTCACCTGGATTGATCTCCAGTTCTTGCTTTGGATTGCTGAAGGTAACCTGCGTTTAGGGATGCTCCGCCGACAAAAATACATGGCTTGATTTAAGAGACAACTTACAGGGAATCTCTGTTCTTGTATTCCCATCACTTGAACTTACTATCCACTTCTGGAACAAGGCAAGATCAACATGCGGAATCAACAACAAACACATACTACAGGAAAATCTTGAAGTGATCAGTTGATGGAAACAATAAAAACCTGTGAAATCATATGAGCACTAAAATGCAACCTAGTCTTGAGTTTACCCAGCACATATTTTTATATATTATAAAATATTATATATACGATCAGAATATTCTTTAAAAAAGGAAAAGCACGGAACACAAGGATTCCCGTCGGCTCCACGAGGTTCTCCATCGCCTCGGGGAAGGTCCCTTTGTCGGTCACCTGAATGCCATGGAAAAGATGGAGGTTTCCTAAGCCATGGGGGTTACCCCAGCTGATTTATGGAAAATCCTGTGCTTGGATGATTTGGTAGCCCTAGTAACTCAGAAACATCCATACGGTGAGTTCATTGAGTTCATGAAGAACAGTAACTTTCCGGAAATGGTGTGATCTCTATCTGCTAAACATTGACTTTTCCATGACCTTCTTGTTGTTGAGGTATGTTGGGAAGAGGAATTTACCACATGAGATGGGGCTTCCAAGGTGGCAACTGGCAGGCACCGAGGAAGGCTCAAAATGAAGCACGCTGCCACCCACTTTCTACCGGAAATTGGAAGGGGATTATATGCACTCATATATCGAGGGTGTGTGTGACTTAGTTCAAATGACATGTTCGCTGCAAACCCCACGTTTGCCTGCCACGGATCCCGCATATCCTTTGACATGCGCAAATTCCTGCGTAGGGCTATATAACGTTTTTTTATTTTCCTAAAAGCCTAAAGGCCTAAACCATACATTAAAACCCTAAATCCTTAATACCTAAAGTCAAAATCGCTGCAAATAGCCAGTGTTTTCATTCATCCTCTGGTCGCAAGTATGTGATATTGTTTGGATGTTGTATTTGGGTGTGGGCGAACGTGGGGTTTGCAAACAATTGCAAAGGTCCTATGTCATTGGAGAGGTCCTATGTTATGTAATATGTTTTCCAGGCATTTTACAAATGACACGGGAGTTATGCATTTTTTGTTTTTTCACTTTGCAAATGACATGGGAGTTTGCGTTTTTTGGGTATGTCCGACTACTCCCATGTCATCTCTCTCTCTCTCTCTATGTATATATATAGTGGTTCACCTCCAACAATGGCATTTGACCTATTTGATCTACAGTACTCTTTTTGAACCAGTTGTAGTCTGGGGACCCAATCCTAGGTCCTAGTGGTCCTACTGTACTGGGTGCCAACCCTCATTGGGAATTTCTCAGCGGCTGTTGCGTATATTGACGTGTCTTGCAGACATATTTTTGTTGATCCAACTTTCTGGAATTTGATGGGGTTCCAACGAGTTTGCTCGAAGAGACTCTGGTCTTATGGTCGCTTTTCACACAGTTCTTGTCACACAACATCATTGGATCCATGGAATGGCTCCAAGACATCCGGTCAATCGGTTGTCCGTATGAGCCCGTAGCAGCACAAAATCTCTCGCCTGCATCATTTCTCGAGATTTCATGAGATTTCTATGGTCACGTGATTGTCATTGGATGTCGGTACTGTACGCCTCACATTTACATAATCCGAATGATGATCTTGGACGAAGCCACAGATCAAATAGAACCAATAAACATCAATACCCTCCTGGAATCAAACATGGCAATTCAAAATCCACCATTTAGTACATTTGGTTCATTGATTTTCCTAGCTATGTTTAATTGATGACGGCATGGAAGTTGCTGCAGCCAAGTGCACCAGGAGGTGTTTGATATAATAATTGGCACGTCTAAGACCGCCATGCACCAAATGAGAGCGCCACACCATGCCTCGAGGGACTAGGATGCGGCATGGGTGCCTTTGGGTTCATGAGATATCCCAGGAAATTCTTTAATAACAACATCAAACATCATCAAAGTGCTTCAGGCCGCCAGGCCCGAATCAGTTTTTTGTGAAACAAAGAGACACAAACGTGTCTTGTTGTTTCAGGCCGAAGTTGAACCATCATCCCCCAAAACCACAGCTACTTGTTGAGCAATCGGGTGCCCTGCAATCCAACGGTTTATCATCATTATCCCCATTAAACTGGCAATTGTGGGATGCGGCATCTCCCATTTCTGAACTGACTGATATGTATGTTTAATATATATATATAAATAAATAAATCTATATCTATCTAGAGAGAAAGGGATTCCCAAAGCACAAAGCCAAAAACAGCAGCGAAGTGAATCCTACAAAAATCCACGCCAGATTGCATGTAACATGTTTCTATACATCATTACAATAGGCGCGCTTTTACCTTAAATCCATCTTCCCAGTGCCGCATTCGCCAGATCCAGTTGCCATTGAGCAAAGTTGGCAGCAGAGTGGTGGCTCGGAAAGCCAAAATCTCCACGATGTCTGGGTGTCTGAGGAAGAGGCCTCAGTCGCTGATGGAAAGGCCTCAACTGGGGATACGGGGTTCGCACAGTGGTAAATCATCAGCAGGCCATCTTCCATAGCGCAAGTTGACGGTAACCAACCATACGGTAGCTATGCAATGGGATATACATAGAAAATATTGGATAATTGGATATTTAATTCTGATAGAAACGTCAAACATGCGTCTGTCATAATTGACAATTAATAATGGGTTTACAAAAAGGAAACTCTCTTTGAAATGTGATGTGATATACATATATATATAATTTAATATGCATCTAAAAAAATGAATATATATATATATTATGTATTTTATACATAATGGAAAATGACTAACATTGTATGACGGGTTGAACCAAGAAAACAATGAATATGGTGCATGTCATGGCACATTTCATGTGATACACATAGCCACATGCAACCAAATAAAATGGGTATATACGAATTTCTGATAGAAAGAAATATAATAAACTTGAGATATAATAAGAATTAATTAAACAACAACAGTGGGTATATAATGGAATGCGCAGACACACACATATATATATATACATATTGCGTATTATTGCGTTATATTATCTTAAATATGTATATATATATTTAATTATGTTATCTTAGATTGGTTAATATTGCGCTATATTATCTTAATTATGCTGTCTTAGATTGGTAGCAAAATATTTGGCTGATAGAGATAGAACGGTCATATATTTCATTTTAGTCAGTTAATTTTATGTTCGAAAGCTAGTGCTGCAAGTTACAAATGCTTTGTTTACATCTTTAAACTTAAGTATCCTATGTCTTTTGCCTAGCATGGATTCAGGGAAAAGACCTGGTGCTAAAGGAATCCCTGTGCCTTTTGAAATGGTAACATATTTATTCCCCCAGTTCCAATTTTTTTTGGTACCAGAGTTTCCTCCCATTTCTTATCGAAGGCCGGGGTATTGCAGCTTGCGCAAAAGGTAACAACTTCTGGCCATCTCGATACATGTCAGAACTGGAACAAACAAACACCTAAAACTATGAGGGAGACATCATGAGACATCTATCGCATCCTGAAAATATTGTTTTACATCTTTGTTTTGGGGCCCCCATGTAGCCTATAGATGCAATCATGAATCGCAACTTCTGCAGCTTGCAAGCTGACGGTAGAATGAGCTAGAACTTGAATGCCAAGAAATGTCTATTGCTGAAAAGTTCAAATTAACCACATACCGTTGTGTTAAGTGTCTACTACCTGGACAATTGCCTGACAATGGAAAATCTAGTGCTCTATTGTCGATAGTCTATAAGGTCTATCTACCTGGATTATTTACAGTATCTATCTATCCATCCATCCATCCATCTAAAGATACATTTCTCTCTATCTCTCTCTCAAAGGCGCGGTCGTCAGAGTGTCTGTCTGTCTATCTGTCCGTCCGTCCGTCCGTCTCTTTCTCTCTCTCTCTCTATGTCTATCTGTTTAGCTCTCTATCTGTCTCTATCTATCTCTCTATCTATCTATCTATCTATAGCGGTCTTTTTATTGATCGATCCATCTATCTACCTGTGTTTAAATTCAATGTAGATAATCACTATTGAATAGATTTGAACATGTACGCACACACATATATATATATATTATATATAATATACAATTACATATGTAAATGTATAATTATCTCTCTACAGTATATACTTATACCGTGTAGGGAGAGAGACTAAAACGAATCATGCTTGCGACTATGTATCGCAGGAAAAAAATACGCATCAAACTGGCCAGCGATACCGCTCTTGTGACAACAGAGCCGACACTGGCTGAAACATTTTGCAGAAGCAATAGCTTTATGAAACTGACATGAATGACAGGACTTCCTGAAGTCTTCATTTCGGCAGGGCAGGTCTATTGTGTCCATCCTCAATTGATTCCTGGAAATTACTGTAAACTGTCATAATTCACCAACCTGAGATAGAGCAATCTTGGGATAGGGAAAACCAATGATCTTTCTCATGTCACAGCAAAGCCAAGACACTATCCAAACCATAGTAGTACTTCAGTCTATCTGCACGGATGGTCCTGACATGCGACCGCCTTTAAATCATTAATGGAAGACTGGTTTGTCAACGCGCAGTAGGTCCTTCGTGTCATTCTATCAGGAACACTAGTTTTTAATCTTTGATGCTTTGTTAAGGTTTCCAAGCACAAAGAACACGCAACGAAATAAAAGAACACATAATTCCGTCAAGACTTCAGTTTGCATCTGCCCCAAACACTATATTGATAGTCATTGATAGTATGTTATGGGGTTTCCGGGATCATCACCATCACCCTGGGTGGGATAAAGAAGAAAAAAGCAACAGCCCATACCGATACCCCTAATATTAAATGTATACCCCCTAGTCAAGCTGGTTCAGTATTCTCGCGATTCATTTTGGGGTCCCAGTGCAGGGATGTATTTCACGTGAGGGAAGGCAGTAATCATATTTGAACCAGCCAAAGATCTTCAAACTCGACATAATGACAGGTATGATAATTCCATCATCAAAAATCACCTCAACAGGTATAGGATATTAGATCCATAGCCGCTATATGCCACTATTGTATTTAGCCAGCCCCACGTCCCAAGCGTCAAGAGATCTTCAATCATCGACTCGGCAGCAGCCCACGTCCCACTATCAATGGCCCACAGCAGGGGCGAGATGGACCTTTGACCAATGGATTTCAGCCCCATGAAGTCCGAATGGACATAGTATGGATACGGTATGGTTAGAAACAAACAAAAGGCTGCATATACATACTTACATACATACATACATATATATATATATACAAATTTATCTATATCTGTAAACATATATATATATATATATATACATATAAAGAAAGAGATATACATATATCAAATAATGAATATATATATATATATACACCATATATGTATATATTCTATTTTAAGGCAAACCGTTCTGAAGTGGAGTTCTACGTCGAAAGCGCAGTAGAATCATTCATCTGATTGCGTGTGGAAACTTGATATTTATAGTGCTTAGCCTCAGCTTGGCACACCCGAAGCAAAGCCAGGACTTTCCGAATGTCAAGTCATTCTATACACCAAATATTGGGGTCATAATCAAAAAAAAACGAGGATGCACAACTCCAATCAGATCAGCATACCAACTGATCAAAGTTTTTGTTTTTAAAGCTCTATCATGATCCAAAAAAAGTGTTTTACATTTGGAAACACACATGTGTGATACAAACAAACATATACATATTTGGGAAGATTTGGCTGTTTCACCAAAGGTTTCCGAATGGAAAGAAACAACAGTGTGGTATGGTTGTGGCCTGGAGAACCTGGTGGAATGTACTAGATCAACAGTTCTGTCGGTCCCTCATTGGGCTCATTTATGCCCATTTATTCATAAATATATACCATGGTCTTTATAAAGTCATATATATATATAAAGATGTAAAAAGCATATATAATGCGATATATCCCAGTTGCATCCAAGTTCAGGATGACCAAGCCATGTCAAACCTCCATTTTTCATGCTGTTTAATCACTACAAGTACTTTTTCATGGTTGAACCTTGTTGACCCACCATGTTTTGTCCCTTTTGGGTGGGGGATGGGATCAAGATGACTCCAGCAGATCACATCCCAGCTGCTGCGTTCCCACCGAGACGGTCAAGACCCATTGATCGCGGGAACCACGAGGTGCGCATTCCAAGGCGGAGGCGAGGAGTTCCTGCTGGGCGATGCGGTTAGAAGAAAATAATCTACATTATAATTAAACATGGTTATAACATGTATTATAACATGCGATAATCCTTATAAGTATCTATATATATATATATAATTATATTTATATTATATATAATTACATATATATATATATAACTTACCTGCTGTTAAGAGGATCACATAGTCATTTGTAATTTCTCCAATTATCATATGTCGCTCTTCATGTCGAATCTAAACCAAGTGTACAAAACACCCAGTGACTTAGTCCACAGTTAGGAAACCTTTCTCATAATAACACAATCAAACTAGTTCGGTTCCAAAATGCATTGTTAATTCCCATTGTTTTGACCCAATTTGATAAAATGTGGTTCAATGACGGGATCATCCCATCCCCCAAGTTTGATTTTTGTTGTCCTAATCATGTAATAAATTTAATAAGATAGATGATGGCATAAACACAATGACTGGCCAAAATGGCCGGAGAATTGCTGAGCCAGAGCGGGTTAGCATAAATGATGGGTATGGTACATCTTTCCCAGCATGGGACCCACCTCTAACCAAAGTATGTCAACCATCAATGGGGATCACTGAAAACAATATCAACATCCAAAAACCAAATGTATTGTTATTGTTATTGGCTGGGACCCCTTTTTAAACAAATACAGTGGGACTTCAATTTGCTTAGTGTTATGGAAGACGCCAATGACAGGCACATCCAAATCTCACCAAAATACCTTGGCAAATTATTCGTACACTCAATGACCATTGACAGTTCTCCCTTATTATTAAGATGGTTTTCAGTTTATGTGTCAAGAAAGGTTGGTGTTTGACTTTGGTGGAAACAAATCTACCAAGCATTGTTTGCAAGAGTTTTGATGGTTGAAGAAAACATGATAATCATAACAAGATGAAAAGGTCTTGAACTATCAGACTCAGACTTTGCCATGTTCTTGGAGCTCATGAGTTGGATTCCTTCTAGCAAACCAAAACCTGGAACTGTTTCCACACAGTTTAAGATGTAGCCCGAGTAAATGATAGTAAAGAACTCAGGAAACATTCGGCAATAATAATACTAATAAAAAATATTGTTTTGGAGTTGCCTTTGATCTCATGCACTCAGAAACACTGGCGACTTATTTGTTTGACAGTCTTTTGCGGAAAAAAAGATGGCGCACAACTTCAGCTTTTAATTGTTTGAATAATTTTGAAATGACATATTTTCAAAAGTTAAAAAAATAAAAAAGGAAATAGACATTGAATGTGCTGTTAAGCAAATCACCTTGGCCAGGGGGGGGGAGATGCCCCCCCCCTCTGGCCAACATCGGGAGCGCTACCGATGTTGGCCAGAGGGGGGGGCACTTGCACCCCCCCTGGCCAAGGCGATTTGCTTAACAGCACGTGCTAAGAGTTTAATGTGGTTTTTCTTTTTTTTCATTATTTGAAAACAGTCGGGAGCGCTACCGAATGTTTTCGCCAAAAGCAAAATTTGTAATTCTGATCTTAAAACAGTCGGGAGCGCTACCGAATGTTTTCGCCAAAAGCAATTTTTAAAACGATGCATGGTCTTAAAACAGTCGGGAGCGCTACCGAATGTTTTCGCCAAAAGCAATTTTGAAATTATGTATGGTCTTAAAACAGTCGGGAGCGCTACCGATTGTTTTCGCCACAAGCAATTTTTGAAAATATGTATGGTCTTAAAACAGTCGGGAGCGCTACCGAATGTTTTCGCCAAAAGCAATTTTGAAATTATGTATGGTCTTAAAATAGTCGGGAGCGCTACCGATTGTCTTCGCCAAAAGCAATTTTTGAAAATATTTATGGTCTTAAAACAGTCGGGAGCGCTACCGAATGCTTTCGCCAAAAGCAAATTCTGAGCATAGAACAGTTCCTGAGCACTAAGATTTTTTTAACCATTGAATACATCAAATTTTGAAGGCAGAATCATTTGTTTTACTAATGCAACAACAAAAATGCATTTTTTTCAAAAAGGTTACATTGTTTGTTATTACATACCTTTATATTTCATGTGGAACTGGGACCACTCAGGAGAACCGCCAAATGGTGCACCTCAAAACCAACAGAAGCTGAAAGTCAGTGTCATTCTGGCCATTGTTCCCTTCCTACGAAATCTACATTCTTAGTCTTAAGGTCCCAAAAGGGAAGAAAGGGCATCACCATAACATGCACTTGCAGGCTTTCAACATCTGTTTTTATACTGAGATAGTAATAGATAATGATCAGCCGCGGCAGGGCAGCCACCCTCCCCCCCTCCACCCCAAATGGGGGATATCACGGGGATACTGGGAATATTGAAGGAATAATAGGAATAATATATGGTGAGTAATAGGGATATGGCGGAAATATCATGGGGACTATTCTAAGACATATATATATATATATATGATGATATATTGATGGATATACAGTCCGGTGTAATCAACTGTGGCACCACCAAAGAAAATGGGTAAAATACAATTTGACTATTTGACTATGTTAAGAGCTGGCAAGATAAGTTGGCTGTTTTACCATGGGTTGAACATGCTCTTAACCCCGCCCTGGCCCTATAAGTTGGGATATAACCCGGTGAACTACTGTGAAAACATGTGAAAACTATCCACTGAGTTCGCTTGAACTGCACTTCCAATGTGGTTTGAAGCAAACATTTGGATTTTACCAACCAATCATGATGCTTCAATGGATTGGTTTTATATATAATTCCAGCAACATTGTCATTTTGGGATAATTTTGGGACGATTTTTTTGGGGCTGAGGAAAATGAAAGATCACAGAAAACCATCCCCAAAGATGACTGAGAGAACTTGGAGACTTGGAGCGTGAGAATTGTCAATGCTGATTATTATGTTGAGATACTTTGGAGAGTTGGGATGGTTGAAAGAGGGATCATTGTAAAATGCCAACTGCCAAGAACTCCCAAACATGTGGATGGTTTAGATCTGCTTGTCTCTTCACATCCTTCCCCCCATCATGCTCCATCTGCCACCATGGGGCCTTACTATTTTGGTTGATGGCTTTCATGACAATCGTGGAGCCTTCCTTGATGGTCCGCACCAACATTCGTGAGACCAACCCCAAAGACCAGGAGAAGGACTCCTGGGAAGTGCTGGCTATGAAAATTCGTGGCAGGGGTCAACTGAAATGTGACGCCTTGGGCATTTGCTCCTTGCTGAACCACAAAATCATCTCAATACCCTCCACTGCGTGCTGGACGCAGTTTAGCCACAGACCCATTAAAAAAAAAAACAAACACCGACCAACATCGAACGATGAATCGATGAATCCAATGGGCTCGGCCCCTGGCTTTGAAGGTTATCCCAAGTTCGGGGATGAACGGGAAACGTTCACCTGCCCCAGCATCAATTAGATTCAATTAGTCACTTCATTCAAATAAAATTCAAAGCACATCAAATCAAATGATATCAACCACATAATCTACAATCAAACAAAGTTTTCCTAACATTTCCCCACTTGGAGGATCATCCCGGTCAGTAAATGGACACATTTGTTTACAAGCCCCTTATCAACTGGCCTATACCATGTTGAAACAGAAAATAATATCACAATCACTAACCACTTATTAGTCCATAAGTTGGGATATAAGCCCTAAAACTAATAACTATAGCTAATATATCGTGTAGCCGCGGTGTCACCTGATAATGTAGTACCTTATTCAACCGATTGGTTTATCGTTCTCCCTTTAAGAAAAACACTTTGGAGTATCCTCCATTTCCAGCCACATTCATATATCCTATGGCAGATTGTAAATCCCACTGTATCCCAATTAGATCCTTGTAATAATCAATACCCCTCTCTATTGTATTCTTATGTTGATGGGTATTAAACCTTATGTTTACTGAATAACGAACATGAACTATTGAATTAGGGCTAATTTGATTAACATCTAAGGTATCAATAAACTGATCGTAGCATATGTTTAGTATTGTTTAGTATTAATGTTAAACTAAATGAACATATAACAAAAAGTTTACAACTTAGTCAAACAGCTGTGTTTACTTAGTTCATGGGATCGGTTTGAGGGAATGTTTGCAGGACACCTCAACATTTGCCGGGGAAATGGTTTCCTGTTGAGATTTACCCTTTAACCAATCTATTGATTGTTCACTGGCAGAACGAGCCCCCAAGTGGGTGATTAATGGGTACAACTATGGCCCCCAGGTCATCCGTTGATATCATCACTACACCACCATTGCGAAACCAAGAAGTGGATGCTTTCTGTTTTTGTTCATGGTTACATGTGGGCACAAAAAAAGTGTGGAGGGAGACATTTATAGTATCCTCTGGTAAACTAACATAGCTATTGAAAATCACTATCTTTAATAGGTAAATCAACTATAAATGGGTCATTTTCAATAGCTATGTAAACGTTTACCAGAGGGTAACACGGTGTCCACATTCCATGAACGGTACCACTTACGATCCGTGGGATGATCCTCCTTACGAAACGCTGGCAGTGGCGCTCCATTAAAGATAGCCCTATTCTACCTCATGAAATGCTAGTTGGTTGATAGGTTTTACTATGAGTTATCATGATCCCCAATAAATTGGCTAGCATAACTCTCTATATCAACTAATCAACCAATGGTAAATCATACTTGGCATAATTACTATGAAAAAAATACCTGGGTTGATTTAATATGATTTAATCCCTGCCTATATAAATATGTATATTCATCGAAGGAAGTTTAGAAGTCA